TAAAAATGGGAATTAAATGGAGTTACATGTCTTATAGATTGAAGCCATAGTATAGTTGGACCTTCAAATAATTAAGGATTTGAAATGTTGGATGTGATGGTTGCGAAAGAATGAAAGGAATGTTTGCAGTACACGTACGAAATGATTGTTGGATTTTACCTATCGAAACACAAAGATCGATAAGATACACCCACTCGGTTTTTTGTGCATGGACTGATGTAGGGAGTGGCTAATATTTTCACACACTATTTATATAGTTTTATACTCCCATACCCCATAAATCAATATTTTTCTAGAAATCATTTGCTCCAATTCTTTAATAATTTGTGATCTCAAGATCAATCTTTTATTTACAATCATATATGTTATCCATCTACATTAATTTCATTTTGATTTACAGAAAAGTCTGCATACATTATTCGAATAGACTTTTAGATAATATCCGTCTTGTGATTTTAGTCGACAATTGACAACAAAGAGGTAGAATAAACATAAATTATATATAACTAATTGGCTCAAATTAAAAAGGTTAATAGACAATTTTCATTGGGGTTGGACTTAAAGCGTTATGGTTACCAAATGATCTGCTTGAATACTCGACTAGGGTTGCCCACCAACGTTGATGTCATTGAGGAATGCTTAGGTGGATAGAACAACAATGAGAGGGGTGGAGTTTGTACATGTACAAGGGACATAATAGGGTTGTGGATTTCTTAAGTTCTTGCTCTCTCTCTCTGTCATGGTTGAGATTTTCGGTGGATTGACGTCTCTTGAATACTTCTCAACAATTGTTCTCTAACGATGTTGATCAGTGTGTCGTGGACTAGATGATATTAAACATGTCTTGAACTTGTGAATCTTCTTTTAAGTTGCACGTGTATATAACGGGAAAAAAAAATCTAAATGCAAAAACACACAACTTTATTGTTCTCAATAATGCAATTAACTATGTGAGCATACTCTAGCTGTTAAGATTGATCTAGAGTAAACTTGAACACATTTGTCCAAAGTCGTCCCTTAATAGCAAATGGTGATTCATCAACAGGATCAACCTTTAAGCAGTCACCATCTTTACGACCAAGAGATTCATCAACTAGCTCAAGTGCAGCAAGTGTAAATTGGCAAGCAGTCTATAGTGTTGAGTAAAAAAGAACTGTAAAAATTGTGCACCTTAATTAAGAAGGAAAACCACGCACCTAAAGCTTTAGGCCGATGCACCTTAAGTTTAACAACTGACACACCTTAAGCATATAAACTACGCATCTTAAGAAGAAAAATTATGCACCTTAGAAAGGAAAACCACACATCTCATATATATATATATATATATATATATATATATATATATATATATATATATATATATATATATATATATATATATATATATATATATATATATATATATATATATATATATATATATTCCGATTTTAAATTATGTAAATAAATAAGAAATGAGTTATTGATATTTTCTTTCACGTGTGTAGAATGCTGCAATATTTATACCACTTTTTATCAAACCATAAAAGAAAGTCAAAAATAATAGTTGCCATGCCTTTCGAGGAAGGAACCAAATTCAATAAAGAAAAGAAGTTAGTTATAGATAAGAAAGAATAATAAATATTTAATCGAATATTTTGCTATTAACTTTTACACGGTCAGAATATAATGGTATTTAAGAAAACTAAATGATATAATAAAAGGTAAAATAGAAAATGTAATAAAAAATATTAAAATTAAAATAATATATATTATTAATTTCAAATCAAACAGTCACACCAATATTTTTTAATTCTGATTAATTAGGGGTTTAACTTTATTGGCTCTTATTAAATTTGTAGATGTGGATGTAGATGTTATATTTTCTTTACAGTGCTAATTAGTATTAGTTTAATTCAACAACTCCGGACAATTTATTAATACAAAAATCGTATAAAATTCAACATTTGTTGCTAATACTATTTTAATTCCACTAACTTCCAAAAAGTGCTCTTCTAAAAAAATATAAAAATGTGTGTGGGGGTGTGTATTTGTAAAGACTTTTGGTTTTAAAAAAATATGCATAAATCTTAATTATTTACTAATTTATTTTTAGAAAATTTATTTTAATTGTTTTTTTTATTAATGACACGATTCTTAAATGATTTACGAAATTCTCTTAAGTTTTTTGAAAAAATAATTCCGAAATGAAGAAATGCTCTTAAGAATTTTAATGTACCATAACTTATAGTAAAACATACAATTTGCAAATAATAATCATGATCTTAAAAATTTTAATAATCATGATTTTACAAAATCTCCGTTAATATTTTTTAACCTAAACTTGACCAAAATCTTCAATAATGTGGAAATATCTTCAGGATATATTATCAGTCAATAAATGAAAGAGGTAAAAATAAATAAATAAACAGAGAATAATATGCCTGGAGAAAAAAAAAAAAAAGGTTTACTGCAATGAAATCTAAGAGCATCCACACTTGTGGATATTGTGGGGAGAATTCAGAATTAAATCTTCCCTTCATGAGATAATAGCTAGTGTGGACATGAGATAATTGAAAAATAATCTCCCTGCAAATGTAGGGAGATTGTCAGAAAAAAAAAAAAAAAAAAAAAAAAAAAAAAAAAGCAAGAACGCGCACAGCCTTGGGCAAAAGCCGGGCGCGTGCACTGCACGCGCCCGGAGGCGCGTCAGGCGCGCCAGTCGGCGCGCCTGACGCGTCTGACTACTTTCTTTTTTTTTTTTAATTTTTTTTTGTTTTGTTTTTTCTTTTTTTTTTTTTCTCTCCTCTCCCACACTCTCTTTCCTAATCACTCTTACATTATCTCCCCATTCTTCCCAACCAATGTGGATGCTCTAACAACATATAATTAGGCTGCAGTACAGAGAGGACAAGGTGATATGACACTTGTTTGAGTGAATAGTTAATTAGAACGTGATTATTATATTTAAAAAATTATAAATTGATTATTATTAAAATTTTTATTAATCAAGCCTGTTACACATAATTTTATAAATAAAAATTATCTCTCATATAATTTAAATATTATTACAAAATAATAAAGTTTACTAACACATCCTCATATATTATTGTTCTATTCAAATTTCTTTCTTCACCGAAAAAGAAAAAAAAAAAAAACGATAAGACGTTTGAATCATATATGGTGCTTGATGCGCGCTCCAACAAAAAGGTAAAATTATAAAGTTTGACCATCGCATCTGGCACATGATAACTAATCACCGCGCGCCGCTATAATAGTGATCGGGGAACGGCGTGACATTAGCCTTACCTCAACAAGTTCTTAATCAATTTGAATTTGAAGAGAATTAGAAATTATGATGATCTCAAATCTTACCTTTGTGAATTTGGTGAAGATTATAATTGATTCTAATTCTCAAATAATCTTGTATTTGATTGATATTTCTCATTTATTCTAAAGTTAGAGCTCAATCAATTTTTGTATGATTCATTAATTTTGAAATAGTTTGATTTAAAACAAATTAAATATATAATGGTACCCGGGTTGGACTTTCATTTGGAAGATTGTGAGTTCGAGCCTCAGTGAAGGCGTTATTGGTTCTTTGTGTTTCAGTAGGTTGAGAAAGTATATGAACAGATACTACCATGTAATAGAGCCAGTAGCATTCAAAAAATATATATAAGATCAATTACTAATTATCTCGATATAATATATATGTGGAGAAATTTTATAATTATCATAAATGTTATAGTGTTGTGTGAATATATATTTTGTGAAGTTGATTCTTGTATTTTGCCAAACATAAATAGGAAGAGAGAGTGTAGCATTCAATATATATATATGTGTGTGTGTGAAGAGAGTACAACTTACAAAATTTATGACATTATAAAAAGGTTAAGTCTAGATGTCATTTAATATATACAATAATTAGTTTATATTCTCTATGAATATGTTTACACACCTATTTTTTTGATACATTAAGTTTTTTAGTTTACGCTAAACAATTTTTTCTAGAATTTCAATCCAAGAGTCGCTAAATGAGACAAATTACAAGTCGCCCAATCAGCCTCTCAATCAGATTCTATGGTTGACTCCTGCACAATGGTCCATTTCTACACTTTTGTTAATTTGGAGAGCCCAATCTCTAATATAGATAGCCCAAGAGCCCAAACTCTAGTATGGGGAGTTCTCTAGCTCCAAGATTATCGCTAGAGTGCTGACTTTAGGTCAGATGGTCTACCAATTGACCTAGTCATATAGGATTGCACACCTATTTTTGTTAGGTGATGAGGGAAATTTGCAGCCATATCGTAATAAACTCGTTCTTATGTAATAGTTCACTATGTGCAGATAGTACGGTCGACTCAATTGATAGAGTGTTGATAAAAATTAAACTTGTGACATTCTGATACGAAAATTATGTTCTACCTACTTAGGGTATACACATATTTTGTACCGGATAAAAAATTGTATTGATCGATATTTAAAATTTTTTTAAAATATTAATATTAATGGTAGAATGATACGGAGTATATTGCTATTGCTATAAATAAATAAAAATAAAAAAGAAACTTGTGTTCGGCACGGCGGCACACTGCTAATTTTGCTAAAAAATTTCCGTATCCGAAATTGATTAAATAAAAAATTAATTCAATAATCAATACCCACCAGATATTCGCAATTTCGCACAAGCATCACGGCAATCGCGTCAACATTTTCTAAATATTAAGACAAAATAAAATAAAATCTCTCCCCCCCATCTCTCTCTCTCTCCCATAAAAGGCCACACCCACTGAGCTATCCTGCGCTGTGTCTGCTTCTCTCTGATTATCTCTCTCTCTCGAAAGTGATAACGAAGAAGAAGAAGACAACTGCACGCCTATACTTTTTCTACAGTCTGCACGCTCGAAAGCTGTAACCTCCACAAATGTCGGGATTCCTTGCCAGAATTCTCCCTTCCCAAGAGCGTACTTGTATGTGAACAGTTAGTTGTACGGAAGGAGTGCGAATTTGTAACTATGCGGTGTAAGAAGCACTTTTCCGATATCAGTAGCGGCGTCGGCGTTTGCGCTTCCTGTCTCCGGGAGAAGCTTTTCGCTCTCATCGCCGCCCAGGACCAGCATACTCAGCAACAGCAGTTTAGGGCGCAGGAAGAGCGCCGGAAATCGGACATCAATAATCCCCCGCCTCTGGTGTTTCCGCGCTCCGTTTCGCCGTATATTTCCCGCCGGAGCTCGGACACTTCCCCCTGGCACCACCACGACCACCGCAGCCAGAGCGGTTTTTCGGACCAGAGATTCTACTTTACTCCGCAAGTCGGCCCTAACCGGAAGATAGTTGAGGGGAACGAGTATTGCAAGAAGAAGAATTACAGATTTTCTAGGTTTTACAATCTGTTTAGATCCAAATCGGAGAAGCCGGATTCGGATCCTGTAGTATCCAATTCTGGTGAGCCTTGTATGGTGACGTCATCTTCGTCTTCGTCGTGGTTTTCCTCAATTCTCGCCAGTCGTCGGAAGAAGAAAAACCGTACGTTTTCTGTAGAAGAATCTACGGTTGGAGGGAGGCGGAGAGCATGCCGTAATTGCGATCGAGGAATGTCTCCGGCGAGATATTGTGATGCAGATGGAGACGAGCATTGCCAGGACGGATCAAGCGGATACTCTTCCGAGTCCTCCCCAGGCTGGAAGCAAACACCGAGGAGGACTCCGGCGGTTGCTCCTGGCCGGAGAAGCTGTGGAAAATCCAGAATACAACGGAACGTCTCAGGGATGACTTTTTGCTTGAGTCCGTTAGTCCGTGCTAGCCCTAGCAGGCAATGGAACCAGAAAAGCATGCCGCCGGATATGGTACTCACCGGCGACATTAGAGTTCCGGTGAAATCTCAGAGTTCAACTACATCGTTGTTCTGCAAAAACGGATCGAGAAAGCTTGCAGATTTCGGGAGGGCCAATGGCAACCATAGGTTTCGTAACACTTGACATTTGAACTCACGGTTGCGACTACGCCGATCACGGTGCCTACATCTTCAATTACGATTTTGCCCATTTGTTCTTCTCTTTCTGCCGTTTCTGGAAACAGATATATCTCCACTAGACTATCACTACAGTATTATTTTCCTTTTTTCTTTTCCAATATTGTTATGTTTTGCATTTTGACTGGAGTGAATTACCCGAAACACCCTTCAAATTGTCAACGAACAAAGCTTAGTGGATGATGCTGCAGATTTGGATGGCAATAGTAGGTGATTTGTGGGGGTTGCATTTGATCAAAGGTCAGCGTGGCGCCACGCGTATGGTGATTTGTAACATTGGCCCACTGTAAATGATTTAGTCAAAGAATCAAGGTTTTAATCAATTTGAGATTTGAGATTTTGAGTTATACTTTTTTTTTTCGCAATTTTTTTTTTTTTAATGGTGAATGATTAGGAAATATCAAACTTAGAATATTGTAGTTATCAAATTAACAGTTAGACTAATTTGGTTAGAGTTGTTTCATCATAATATCATATTTGACAACATATATATAATGACTATTACAAATAAGTACGTATTCACCGAAGTTTGAATATATAACTAAAGTTTTTAAACTCGTAATTTTTATCATGGGACTAGATAAATTTTTAAAGTTTTATTAAATTTGCATAAATAATGGCTATTACAAATAGTATTTAGCGAGGTTTGAATATATAACTAAAGTTTTTAAATTCATAATTCTTATCACGGGACTAGATCGATTTTGATGTTTTCTCAAATTTGTGTATTATGTTTATCATATCTACAAAGTTAAATGATTATTTACAAAATAGTATCTGTTCTCAATATTTTTTCCATTTGAAATGATAACAAAAGTGTCATCAAGACTACATAGTAGTTGACAAGTTAAATTCAACACAATTATTCTTAACCATATTAATTTTCAATGACATAAACCAAATTCATGGCATTTTTTGATTTGGAAATTTGCTGAAATTAACACAACACTTTTATAAATTAAAAGTTGCTCAAGTTAGAACTCTCGGGAGGCGATCAACTATGAGTAACCTAGAATCATTTATCTCATTGTATTTTACAACGGTCACAAGATAAATTTCACCTAAAATGCACTTTTGAACCACAACTACATACTTTCCCGTAAACCAAAATTGATAAATTCACATAAATTACAAAAATCTCATAGTATGTACATACTTGTATAGTCAGTAGTCACCACCACATTCATAATTCTATGCTGTTGTAGAGTAAAAGCCAAGTGAATAATACTCCATTGAATTGGTACAATTAGTTGAAAGTTGGTAGCCGGTAATGTCTACATCTTTAATTATATTAATTAATAAAGGAGTGTATTCAACTTGACTACTTGCAAACACTAATGGCATTTTCACTTGCATGTGGTCATAATTTTGATCTGTTTTATTTTTAGTTATTAATTTTTTTTTAAAAAAAATTAAAATGTTTTCAAAACCTTTTGAAGCTTTCACCAACCTACAACATGCTACATTTATGAGATTTTGGGTTGAAAATTTGAACGTTGCTATGATCGAAAATCAACTAGAAGAGAAATTAGTTAAGATCGAGATTTAAAGTAGAAATATGAGTTTTTATTTTTATTTTTTTTATCTTTGATCCTCTGACTATTGTATCTCTATTTTTTTCACCTTTAATGCACGATTGCTGAATTCTCACCATATGTTTTTTTTTTTCATGTTCATAACTAATTTCTTAACCTATTGAACCACAAAGAGTCAATATCGTCCCCAGGAACTGAACTCATGACCTCCTATTTGGGAGAGCCACTTCGTGCCACTAGACCACAATGTCATTGGCAAAATTTTATAGTAACATAATGCACCAAATGTGAAAGAATTTAATAGTATGTAACCAAAAAAAAAAAAAAAAAATGTAATAACCAAAAGTGAAAATAGGTCTAGAAATATGATTACAATCATGTCAAATTGTCAATGAAAGTTGAACTAACACCATAAGAAATGCATCAAATTCATCATATTGAGATTTGAGTAAATATATGGTACATAGAAATTTCTTTTGAATTTCCTTAGAGCATATAATGAAGGCATTAACGTTGAACTCAATGAATACCTCATAAATGCATAATGAATTTGGCGTAGAATGCAAATGTGTATATGGGACTTAGGCACCGGTAGCCTAATTTCGCCGAGAGCTTTAATTAGTCAATAATTCAAAGGTCAGAGAACGTGTGTATTTAATGTCCAAACACTTACTACTTCACTAATTTAGCGGAGAGCTGAGCAATACTAACAATAATTGTGATCTGTCTTCTCCTAAAACGTTGAATCCCAATTCTAATTTAATTGCTCAACTGAGCACTTGTAAATATGTAAATCACAGTGACCCAATAACTCAGCATGACCAAATATCGATTGAGACATAACATAACATAATTGATTAAGCAGTGACATCAATCAATTTCTAAAAAGCGGTCAATATAATTTTGCTTAGCTTAATTCTTCCTTACACCAACAAAAAAGTATGCAAATTAAATTAAAGACAAATGCATATTACATAAACTTAACAAGAAAAATCATGAAGGAAACGTGAAGGAAGGACACCCCAATGAATTATTGAATCAATTAAGGAATAATAACAAATATAAGCAGCTAAAAATAATTTCCGAAAAACAACATTGCAATGTCTCACGTATTTGTCGGCTGGCCGAATCGAGGAAAATGTGGAATTGTGTGTAGGGGTCCGTCCAGTCAAGAAGAAGAAATTTGGAGCAATTCCATTCCATTCCATTTTCTTATAAATGCTTCGGCTCGCACAAGATTTATTAGGCAAAGAATAAGTATCTTCTGTTCAGATGACATGTAATGATTCTCGCATATGAGAGATTATCAGATCAAACCTCGATGAAGACAGTGTAGACTCTTTGTGCTACTCAAAATAAAAATAAAAAGATACGGGATTATATATATATATATATATATATATATATATATATACACACACACATAAGGTGACATGTAATGATTCTCGCATATGAGAGATTATCATATCAAATCTCGGTGGAGGCGGTGTAGACTCTTTGTGCTACTCAAAATAAAAATAAAAAGATACGGGATTATATATATATATATATATATATATATATATCAAAAGTAATGCCTGATAAGGTTGGTGTAATTCATCAGAAATTTAAAGGATTAAGATTGGTTCTTACCTAATTATGATTCTGATTTAATTATCAATTTAAACTTTTAGTTAGGATAAAGTACATATTAATTTTGTATTAGAGTCAACTTCATGCTAAAGATCATGAATTTGAATCTCTGACCCATAAAGTAGTGAATGAGCTAATATATAACTTCGACACTTAAAAGTACTTTTTTTCTAAATACTCATAATTCTTATTAGATAGTACTGTCTCCCTTTGAACTCATATTTGAATATTTGATACGGATAGACAGACAATATCGGAATTGGGATTGCTAAAACTTTTATTTTACTTTTTTTATTGGGGCACAAAAGTTTTGAACTGCTTAGTACTTTAATTTATGTGTGTGAACGAGAATGGAGATTGATAGTCAAAGTTGAATTCAACACATCTTCAAATTGTGTGGATATCATCATTATTCATTATTTGTTCCGAACTACCAAAGTGTTTCGTGTGTGGGGGTACGTTAGTTTCGAAACATCTAAAGTTTGTTTTTGAATTTAAAATTCATTTTTATATATTGTTTTTTTTTAATTACTTTTTCTAGGTAAAAAAACTATAGGTGTAATAATTTGAATGATAATGTGGACTAGATAGTTGTGTACCAGTAGAAATCATCTTTCTATGACGAGAGAAATTTATAATTATTATTTAAAAGAATGCACTAGACAAATCTCATTTTTGTGTAATAATAGCTTATAAATCACATCGAGAACCATTTTAAATCAAACTCTTGTGTAATAGCTTATAAATCACATCAGACGAGAATCATTTTAAATCAAACTACTGTGTAATAGCTTATAAATCACATCAGACGAGAATCATTTTAAATCAAAGTAAAACACGTATTCCAATTTTGTAATATATGAGTAAATTAGAAGGTACAAACCAATTCGACTATATTATATCATTAAAGCTATACAGTAAGAAATGACTACACATTATATTATGTAATTCAAACCTTATATTTCAATCTTTAAAAAAAAAAAAAAAATACTTTAAAGCATACATGGATAAAGCTTCTCTATGTCGATTTTTAAAAAAAAAAATGTATTAAAGAACTATTTTGAGAATGAGAAATTAATTACAAAAGAATTTGATGATAATTAACATATATATAGTGGTTATGAAGCTTTGTTTGAAGAGATCAAATATATTGTGTAATTTGGGGATGTTTATTTGTTGGGCAGCTTCACATTGCTGTCATATTGATGGCTTCAATTTGAATGAATGTTTTGCTTTTTCAAGAACTTTGTACCCATCACATAAATTAGTTGTTCCCAACACCACTTCATTCTTGTATTAATTAATTGCTTTGAAAAATGCCTTACAACTCCTCATATCTTTTAGAAAAAAGTTTCAAGATATTCTTTAGGGAGTATATATCTCTTATCCATAGAGTTTTAGGATATAGTTTGATGGAAAAATTAATATTTTTTTTTATTATAACAAACCTAAATTCGAATCTCACTATTAACTATAAAAAAAAAAAAACAAAAAATTTACTTGCATATGTAAATCAGTAAAATTTGTAGGTACTTTATTCACCTACCATAGAAAAATTAATAAAATATACATTGTTTCTGCTGTAAATATTTAATCTATAGTTATTTTAAAAAAATTATTGTAGTGATTCTTATTATACTCATTAGACTATGTACCAAGATAACTTGTACTATTTCTTAGTTTATTTCTCAAAATAATCGAATCATAAGTTCCACATATTCTTCTTATGTAGCGTTTATCACAATTATTTTTTAAAAAATAAAGAAGTACAATAAATACAAAACGATAATTCAAAAACCGAAAAACTCTTTAGGTGAAACACGTCTTATGACCCTAGATGGCAAATGATCACAAATAGTTAACCTAGTTGTCTGGTTCAAATCAGAAGGTCAATAAACACTTATAAGAGGTCAAACTTGAACCATATATTTAATTATCAAGAAAACTATTCGATTCGATTAAGGCTGCCTCATTCTTAATAAACAACTAATGGCCATGTTTAATTTAGTGTATATTTTTGAGTATTTAGTGCCAAATGCACATGGAATCCATTCCATTTATTTTATTATTATAATCTTTATTTATTTTTTGTATTGTTGTTATCCAATAAATAAACCAAAACCTTCCATGTTCCCACCCATCATCCACTTTCTATTGATGCAAAAAATAAGATTCTTTATTGTTACGTTTGAATAAGTGGATATATTCATGGTCTCCTGTCCACTATCAGTGTGCTATTTTTATTTTTATTTTTATTTTCGTGGGCAGAGATAATCATATAAGTTCCATAGTGCCTTGAATAGGAAACATAAAGAAAAGTATTTGAATTTCGCCACCGAAAATCCCACTTTCTTCATTTCATAATTTCTCATCTACTCAACCCTTTACTAACTACCACATTTTTTTACTATGTACAACTCAATTAGTCAATTAATAAAAAATATATTGAGAAATTTTGCTTTGCTAGCAGTCGTAGAGTGTTAGTGTACGTACAAGCATTTGAGGTCAATAGGCCAATTGAGATATATCTTGCGATTTATCTTCTCTATTCGTCTCCAGGATCAGATTAGTGAAGTGCCCTTAAGTTTGGAATTCAAACATAACTTCCACTTTTTTTTTATCCCAAACACATCTCAACTGGTCAACCAATCCAAAATAAGTTAAGAGACTTTGTTTTGCCGGTCGTTATAGGGTTCTAGTGTATAAGTATTTGGGGCCTATAGACCAATTAAGACACATTTCGCAATTTACCTCCTTTACTAGTCTACAACTCCTACAAGGCAGGAGCTGCGAAGAGCCGAAAAATACTTAAGTTTGGAGTTCAAACTCAACTACCGCATTTTTTTTGGCACTTTACAAGGATGTTTCAAGAATAAAATATATTGTATGTCCTATCAGGCCCGGATTTTGGGCTGTGCAAGCTGAGCTACCGCACAGGGCCTCAAATTCTAGAGGGACCCCAAATTTTAGAAGCTCAGTATTTTATTTTTACCTAGTTAGTTTAGAAATAAAAATTAAAAGTTTTTAATTAAACTTAAAAGACTTTATAAAGAAATGGTAGGAACATGTATTTATTGTATTTTAACTTTGAGGTCTAAGGTTCAAAACTTGTGCACACTATTATTATTATTCCATAATATGTCTATTTTTACCTGTGCGTTGCACGGAAAAGATTTGTTATAATCTTAAAATTATAACAACGAATATTATATAGTGCAATTGATGAAATGGGTTGTATCGATTATGTTTTTTTTTTTAATGTTATCCTTGCTTAAATTCGAGCAAATAATTACCCAATTATCCATGCAGTGTGCGTGCGATGTGCGTGCAGTGTGCGTGCGATGCACGAATAATTTTTTTTTTGGTTATATATTTAGATAATAAAATTCCGGTATTAATTTTATAGATTTTAATTTTGGTAGGACCTTATTTATTTATCCGAACAGGACCACAAAAATCTAAAAATCGACCCTGTGTCCTATGGCTTGATGTTGACTATGGTATTAATTGTGACATATGATATAGAAAAGTTGTGTAATGAATTACATATATATTGCTAATACTATTGCATATTTTCCCTCCAAACAATGAAATAGTGTTTGACGTGAAGGTGAAGGTTATCCAATAACTTGAATAGTAAATGCCATTTGAATATGCCGTCATTGAATTTCTTGTATATATCTTTGATTGTGGGGAGGGAAGTTATTGGGTTTAGAAGTTCGGGATGCTCTCCATTTTGGATAATACAATACAAGTTAAGAGAAAAAGAATTGGAATTCACAAACAAGCAAATGGAACGCTCGATATGGGAGATGTTGGGAGTGTACGTAACAATGATGGTAAGTCCGTTGATGTGGTATTTTTTGATTTGACATTTCAGTTGATTGTACAATGTGACAGTTGAAAATGTAATGACAGGCAAAAGAATTATACATATGACAATTACACATGGTGATACTAAATTAACGAGACCGATTTTTCAACCTTCGTAACCGAGAAATGAAAGCATGCTTATAATACTTGAGTTATCGGGTCAATAGAATTGTCTCATAACCCCCATCAGACACTTAATTTTGTACTTCCTTATGTAATTTAATCTAAAAAATTCATAATAAGATTGGTCAAATCATTTAATTGAACTTTCCATAGCTTAACTTAAGGTGATTTTCCACCATTGCAGCCAGATAGCTTGGAAATAAAAGTGTGTAGGACATAAGATCAACCTATAAATTAAGTTTTAAAAGAGTTTTCATTCTTTTTTTCCTTTGAGAACTGCTTAACTGGTTAACTAACCCAAAATATATTGATATGCTTTGCTAAACATGAATGTATAAATTTGACCTTATTATAAGCCTTAATATACACATCCATTTGATACTTATTGGTCAGTTAAGACATATCCGTCAATTTATTCCTTCACTGATCTTCGAGGATAAACTACCATTTGAGTTTGTTTCTTTTTGGACTAATCAAACCCATAATTAAAGCATTTGGGATTCTATTTGATATCAGATCCCCTTAAATAGTAAATATATACTCATTGTAACCTTTGACTAATTATTTCTTTTAAAAAGGAAAATAATGATTAAAATTTGTAATTCAAGATTTGAACTAAACCAATGAAACGGTTAACATGAAAGATAGGACATAATAATCTTTTGAATTAATTAAAGATGTAAATAATCCATGATTGGATCAAAGATCTCCCCGGCAATTATATTGCTGCTTTTAAACAATGAGATCACCAAGAATTGCAGCAAATTGATGAAATCTAAACATCCCAAAAATCTTAGATTTAGAATTATTCAAATTTAAGTCTTGCTTTATTATATAGCATATAAGCATCAACGTCAAATTTTCTACGTAAAAATTAAATGAGATTCATATTTGGCTTATGGAACATATATGGTTAGGGATGCCAACAAGTAATATCGGGAAGCGGATTGTCACAAACCCTAATAGGATGAATTGGGTTATAGTATATAAGCATGGGCATCAAATTTTTATGTGAAAAATAATATTCATATTTAGCTTATGGAGCATAGTTAGGGATGACTACAAGTAATATCTAAACCAGTTCCTCCCAAATCCTAATAGGATGAATTCGGAGGAAAGTAGAAAAGATATATAATAACCGTAACGGGTTTTGGTAATTTTGAAAATTCATTATTAGGTACTCTATGAATAGTGTCAAATGGATCTAGTACAAATATGTGTAATATTCATTCAAGTATGTATTTACTATTTAGGTGAGGTTAGATGGAGCAACCTTAACCGAATTAGTTACGTAGTTAACTTAGTAAGCACAAGATTCCATAACCTATTAATCTTCTCGATAAATGGTTTACGTCCTTGTATCTTTTGTAACTCTCGCAAAACGAATTTAAACAGAATCCACTTTCAAATAGTAATTGCAAACTTTTATGAAAAACAAACATATACCCTTACCGGTTCGCATTTCGAGGCATGGCACCGTGGAACATTGCCATTTTGGCATGACAGACTGACAGCAACTTATGTATACCAATAAACATTCATTCACTCCTGGCGGCTGTCACACACACCGATGAACACTAATTAACTCACAGCACACCATCCATGACTACAAAAAAGAGTAGAAATAGCAGCCAAACATACTATTGAATAACAAGGATTTTCATACAAAACTGCAGAACATCTTTGAAAATTTTGACCCAAGAAGAAGAATATAATCTAAATGACTTGGTCCTAGAAGATGATACAGATACCAACCAGCTGACAAATACCAGGTCTAACAAACTATAATGACAATATCCTGTATCTTTTAAACATGACCGAAACTCTCGAATGCTATGAAAGATGATCTTTACAGGCACAACCGAACAGAAGATGGAGAATCGCAAACATGGAATGCTATGAAAGATGATCTTTACAGGCACAACCGAACAGAAGATGGAAAATCGCAAACATGAAATCAACAAGCGCATCCTCCTTGCTGTTGTTGAGACTGGGCCGAATTTGAGTTTGTAGACTTGAGGTTGACGTCGACCATGTCATCTTGCTTTGCTGAGGATAATGTCTCCATTCCCGGCAAGGCTGCAGCGATTTTTCTAAAAAGCGGCTGCAATGATTGAAAGGTTTTGCAGCAACTAATGTTAATTATCAAAACGTGTGGCCAAGTAAAGCAGAAAAGCTAACTACCAAGAATAAAAATGTGAGAACTGTTTTCATTTTTGTTTTATTACAATCACACAGATGCCACTTCATCATATAATCAAGATATTCTTAAGAGACTCTCATAACGAAGATGTTATTACTCACCTTTATATTGAAGCCAGCCTTTGCACTGGTTTCAATAAACATGACATTCATTTCACGAGATTTAGCCTCTCCTTCTTCTATTGAGACTTGTCTGTATAAATGCAAGAAAGAAAAAAGGGATTAAGCAAATGAAAGAAAAAATAAACAAGAACATTACTATACATTTCAAAAAAGTGGGTAAGGAGGCTAAAAATTCCTCATTTAATCAGAATCCTAAAGAAAACCAAAATATAGATACCTTTTCTCAACAAGGTCAGTTTTATTCCCAACAAGGACAATTATAACATCACTCCCACGCTCAGTCCGAACCTCCTCTACCCACTTTGAAGTGTTAAGGAAAGACTGCCGGCCTGAACATTAAGTCAGATACATGTTACAAAAAAACAATACACTGTATAGATTGAGTTTTTTTTTCATAAGATATTAATTGCAGCAAGGGAAAGTGCAACAAATTAAATGTAAACATACTTGCAACATCATACACAATAACAGCAACAGATGAGTCCCTAATATAGCTGGGTATAAGACTCCTGAATCTCTCTTGCCCTGCTGTATCCCTGTATACAGTCAGAGAGGTGAAAATTTATAAAACATTTTAAAGAAACTAAATGCTCCCTCCGTCCCATTTTGTTTGTTTGGTTGGGGAAGTTGTTTTTAATTCAATTTTTTATAATATTAAGTTTAGTATTAGTATATAAAATTTATATATTTAGAAATTATATTAAAAGTACTATTAAACACAAAAAATCAAATTTAAAAATAATTAAAAATTACTAAAGAAAATAAGCAATGAAGAAAGAGTTTATTTAACTAAAAAATAGTAAACAGGACAAACAAAATGGGACAGAGGGAGTAACTAATAATGATCCAATGACAGATCTGACATTAAGAACTTCAATAAATATGTGATCTCGCAGCTGCAGACGGTGGATTGCTTTCTAAAGAGTAAAAATAGTCATGAACAGAGTATTCATCAATTGGGAATGAAAACATATCTTTATAATAGCTAAAATTGTAGCAACCATGAAACTAGCTTCGGCATGCAATTTGCGATGCTCATGCAAGGAACTTTGGTGTCTAAGAAGTTTAACAATACTCCGTTGAGCAAATAAAAGTAGGAAATAAAGAAGGCATTGATGAAACTGATTGCCAAGCTAGTGTTATGGTAGCACAAAACTTATTAGGCAGGAGTCGAAAAGAGGACTTCAACAAAATGGTCAATAAAAGTGGGATGCATGGGAATATGAGCGTAAAACAGTGTGATTTTGCAACACAAGCACAGGATCCTCACATCAAGAACCGCAACTTACCAAAGCTGCAATCTCACTGTACGATCTTCAAGGTACATTGTCTTTGACAGGAAATCAATACCAATAGTTGCCTGAAAACAAGTTAGCATTTAGGTAAGCATAAGAAATATTCCGCTTAGCCTTGAAAGAGATGGTGCACTTAGTTTGTGCAAAGTCAATAACAAAGGTAAAAGGATTTCCCCTTTTCCAATATGTAATTGTTTTTGTTTGCTTTTTGGCAAGACAATATACCACTAATTCTCAATAGCTCTTATTTTCAGAGACCACCATAGCTAATACAAAAGCCACAAGCTCAAAATTAAGTTATTCACCAACAAGTAACAAGATCTAGCGGATTGAGCTTAGTAATAAGAAAATGGTGGCCAGTATGACAGCTTCAAAGTAATAACTTTCTGGCAGAAAAAATAATCCATTTCGATCTTTATTGTAATAATCACCTAAAATACATTAAGTGCTAACTTAACTAAGAGCTGATTTAAAATTATCAGTTCTCAGAGAAATCAAATTCGTTGACATAAAACACTTGAAGATCATTAGTATCAGAATACAACAGCAACACCATAGGAGTCACAGACAAGCAGATCAAACAAATACGGATAATTTTTTGAATTAGTTCATGACAAATACTGGTTCAATTGGAAATCAAAAGCACCAAATTATAAACGGATATACAGTACCTGATAAGTGGTATCGAATTTATCGTACATGAAGCGAGTAATGATACTGGTTTTCCCCACGGATTGATCTCCTAAGAATACGAGCTTGTACTTGGCAAGAGCCGAAACTGGAGCCATCTATCTGATCTACTCGTTTGACTTCTGGATTATGAAATCCGTGGATCGGATCAGGACTTTTCCGACGGAGTATTTTATAAATCGCCGGAAAATGATCGGAGGCGCGTCGAAGACAGCAATGTGAGAGAGGGACGTGCGTTCTAGACTTCTAGGTATTTGTATTCCAGGAAGAAGCGCGTGAAAGGGTTTTTCAATTTGCACAAAATGATTTAAAGAACTAAAAAAAGGAACAAAATTTTGTATATAATCGAAGAAAAAATATTGATTGTGTCACAAAATAGTGACTATGTTTTTCTCTTGTCACTTAAAAAATATTAATTGTGAAAATTATAATTAATATTTTAAATAGTTAGCTATTTCATTACAAAATTTGTTAAATTGTATGACTTAATTAACTTGTTGGTATAACGGAGAGTTGGATGGTTGAGTTATTGATAATTTATTATAAAATTTAGATGAGTAAAAAGCGATTTAAAGATTATCATTAGCGAAAGTAATGCAATGTATTTATTTATACTATATATGAATAAAAATGCGATTTAATTATTAACTAAACAATATCAAGAATTGATAATTAAGACCCTCCTTCAAACCTCCCAATGGAGTGAAAGCATTATTGGATGCCTATTCCTATAACATGTTCGGTTTTTTTTGGGCATCCTCACACACACATCAAATCTTATATTTTTATTTTATACAAAAAAATTCTATTTATTTATCTATTAAAGAATTTTTTTTTTTTGAAGGTATTTATCTATTAAATAATACTTTCATAAAAAATCCATTAAATAGTGAAATTATTTATATTTATGTTATAATAATAATTTTAATATAATTTGTAAACAATAATTTAATGTATTTATCTACATGAGAATATTAACTATTCCCTAATGCATGATAAACATGTAAATTGCTTAGGATAGAATTTATAAAAATTACATATTGATTTCATAATCAAATTATTCGGAAAAAAACTATTAACTTTCTCCCGGTTGAATCCCCAACCCCAATAGTCCCACACCCCAGCTCGATAGAATATTTGAGAAGATATAAATCACGGTGACTCAATAACTCAATGGCTCAGCAGACAAGACCAAATGTCAATGCGCACAAGAGATCTGCTCACTTTGAACATAATGCCTATATTGCCACCTTACTGAAATATTAAGCTAAGCCCGTGGGGCAAAACCGATTAGGGAACAAAATCAACTAAACACCTATACAATTCAATCGTTTAGTATGTAAACTCCTGGTAAAAACCGGGTAGACGTGACATGGCATTTGATTTGGATAACTGCTCAAACTAAGCATATTTAAGAATTTCTGAGACTTAAAAAAGACTCCAACATCATTGCAGGGTTCATATTAAACATCAATTAAGCTTGTTAAAACCATAATATTCACAGCCAACTGGCAAGTAAGTTAACAGCTCAGTGCAACCAAGATGGCAAGCTCCAGTTTACTTTTTACATTTTTGACAAAATAATATCTAAGAATATCTAAGATAAGCCTCTTTGTTGATTCCCATTGAAGCACATATATGATCATAGATATATATTTATATATTTATCTGCGGAATGTGACCCTAAAGAACACTAGACATGAATTTCTACCACATACACAGTCTATAATAAGCTATGAAAATAGAAACTTGTCCAGTTTGGATTGCTTGTTAGAACCTGGAGGCCTGAAGTTTTCTAGCAGCAGATTAGATCTTTTACAGATGTCATTCAACAAAGAATCGCCTTTCTCCGATTTAATCATCTCCAAGGTGCTTCCGAGAACGTCGGCTGCAAGCCCCGTCTCCACGAGGCACCCTTTCTCCTCCCCGCCTTCATGTAGCAACCGCCCAATCTCGTTGAGAGGAATCGTGTTTTCCAAAACCATGTTGGCAAAGATACGACCAAGAAATTCCGCTGCTCTTGGGGCATCATTAACTGCATCCTCCAAGGTAGTGAGAACACGTTCAAACCTGTTCGCGGGGACATAATAAGTCAACGTTCAGTTAAACAGTGATCAATCTTTGTCATTGTATGTCATGAAAAACAACAGCCTACCCCTGAATCAGCTGATCCTGACTTAGGACAATTTCCCGAGACTTTGTTAAGTTGACCAGAAGTTTCCCTAAGAGATCCCTCTCCATGTCCTTCCTCTCGAAAGAATCAGTGATCCAAAGAGCAATCATTGAAGGATAGAAGCTTGGAGCATTCATGTCTTTCATGCATAAGGCAACCTCCTTCTCATCTCTGGCACTGTCATCAGAAAAGCACTTGTTAGCATGTATAGGACACATCAGGTTATGCACACATATGGGAACTCCATACAAATTATGAAAAGATTCCTATTTGGACTTCTAGGGTATTTCATTACACGAGTGAATATCGAAAACATGTGATGTGATATAGCAAATACAAAAATATGTTCATCATATTCTCACCATATCCAATTACATTAAGAAGATGCCATATTAGAAACATAAAGAACAAATTTAGAGAATAAGAAGCAAATGTTGGAAGAAATGAAATATAAAATGTCTTCCCTGGCTTGGTGGTTTCACGGAAGACAAAATCTAGATGCCAATAGTCAGTGCCCACAATTTTTTTATTTTAAACACACTTTCCTTATATAACAATATAATTTTTTTTAAAAGAAAATTTAAAGGCCTTGGAGAGTAAGCAAACAAAGATCCTTGATTAGATTACTCTCAGAATCAAACTCCAGGAAACATTTCTCAGCAAAAGATTCAGCCCTATTTGTAAAGCTAGAATCCAAAAGTAATTGCAGAATAGTACCTGTAAAATTCTTTAATTGCAGACATGGATAGGTCCTGTAAGCGTTCTTCAGACAATCCTTTATCTTGATGAACATTCTGCATAGAACTTGTCCCTCCACCTCGAACTGGAGGAGACGTAAGAGCAGTATCAAATCCACGATCTCTATTTCCATAATGCATGTTCCACTCCTGTTTACCAGTATGACCATATTGACTGGAAACCCTTTCTGGCATATACCTCTGCATGGAATCTTCCCTTGGGCCATGTGTTATCCGATCAGGCATAGGACTAAAGCCATTCATCCCAGATGCAACTCTATGGGGATCACCAGGACTTGGTATATTAGCTGATGGGGTTATTGGAGCAGTTGTTTGTCCCCTAAAAGACCTTGCAAGTCCACCTTGAGGTCCAAGTGTAATATCATCTCCATGGGACCGCTGGGTAAGGGGAAGTGATAATGCCCTATTCTCAAATGAATTTCTATCATCCAGCCGAGAATCTTGACCACCATAATCCCGCATCTGGGGAGACATAGGTCGGAACCCACTCATCTGGGAGCTTGGAGAAGGCAATATACTAGGACCTCTAAGAGAAAAATCAATTTGTTGGCCTCTTCTAACAGAAGAACTCATGCTGGGGGCACGAGAAACCCTACTAGCTTGGGCTTGTCTTTCTTGAGCTGCATCTCTATGCACCTCTTCAATCTTCTTTGGTCCTTCAACTTTTCTCCTCTGCTGCCAATTATTCTTCCTAAGATCGATTGCATCTTTCAACATAAACCTTACCCTGGAAGATAGTTTCATGTTGATTGACAAGTTAGCCATCATAGCAAAATAAGCATCCATGTGCACCTTGGCTTTTGCATGATCTATCATCTCACCAATTGTGCTCATTAATTTACATAAAGCTTCAATGTTTTCCTCATCAGGATTCTGATTCTCAGTCTCACCTAGCAAATTTTTTATGCACTCATGCATTATCCTCTCTGTCAACATTTTCTTCTTGTACAACTCTCCAATTAGTCTAATGTTGCCTAACATTCTTCTCCGTGCTTTTAGTCTTTTCTCCTCTCTTTCCTCATCTGAGAGTTTTGTTTCACCTTCCCCATCAGTTACATTAGCTTCTTGTTCCTCTCGCTTTCCTCTCTCAAATTCTTCCTGACACTTGTTTAAAAGCAATCTCTTAAAAGTAATTTTTTCACTGTCTATGCTCAGATCAGGAAGCTCAGCAGAGAGGTGAAAACAGAAGTTTGCATACATCTCACAAAAAGTGGGTTCCATCAAAGCCTTGTCAAAAATTTGTGAAATAACACCATTAAGTGTCGTCACATTGTCAATTTTGACATCTTTAACTTGCTGGAACAATTTTTCAAAGTTCTGGGGAGTAAGCTTGTTTAGAATTGCTTTCAACCGTCTTTGCTTTGCTTGTTCCTCATCCGTTACGCTGCCAACTTCATACTTCTTTTCAGCTTTATGCATCACTTGTAACGGAGACTGAGGAGAAGGCATCAAACCCTTCTGGAAAGCAGTTCCTCGCTGCCACCTGTCAGCATCAACACCATTTCTTTGCATACCTTGAGAACCAACTGAATGCAACGGCCCTGCAAGGATACCTCCAGCATACTGCAGTGAGGTTGGTGCATGGGGGTTCCTCAAAACCCCAAAATTACCACCTTGATTGGGACGGAATCCCATAGAATTACTACCATAAGGCATGTCTGGTCGCATATCCCGTCCAGTCACAAGTGGTACATGTAATTTACTCCACTTGTCTTCATCTCCCAAGGCACTACCACGGCGTTCTGGTCTAGAGCCTCCAGATGGTCTATCAACAATCCTGCCAGGACTTGGGTATGGTTCATTAGTAGCATCAACAGTAGAACGAGAACCCATCAATACTTCCGCAATATCAGATGCAATTGCAAAACCTTCAGGAAGGTCAGTATATAGGTCCGCAAATTTAAATAGAAAATCTCTTGAATACTTTTTGGTTGTCATTTCATCACAACCTTCAGCATAATTATTGAATCCCCGTACAACTTGCTTTCCATTTTCTGGAGATTCCAGCTTTGGACTTGAAACATCAACAGCGTCCTCCCAATCATCGGGCTCAACTTTAACCTGATCACCTTCCTTGACTGACACAATGTCTTGCACCACCTCAACAGTAAAGGGCTTTGAACTATCAACAATGTTTCCTTCGATGCTTTCAACATATGTGTCATTTTCTTTCTTTTCCTCCGTACCCTTATATGCCACATACAAATCAGAGGTTGCACCTGCAGCATCTGCCTTTTTATATATTTCTTTTTTCTTCTTTTTTCCTCTAGCAAGAGTACTTTTTGGCAAATCTTGGTAAACCAAAGATTTCTCCTTAGCAATTGATGTAGTCAAGCTAGTGTCGTCATTTTCATCTTTGTGTTTTGAAGTAGCCTCAGGACACACATGAGATTCAGATCCAGACTCCTCATCAACAATGGAAGTTGTTGGAGAAGCTATTTCTTTAGTACCCATGTGAAGATCTTGGGTAGATACACCTATCACCAAGGGGGTGCCCTTGGAATTCATGTCATTTATATCTAAACTGGATGATAAAGAACTATCAGCCTCATTATCAACTTCACTGGAACATGTAGCAGATTCATTAACCTTGCCCCGAGTAATTTCTTCTGAACTACCCTCATTGCTGGAACTTGCAGCTCTCTGTAGACAGTGCTCTTCGGTTTGATTAATGAACTCAGAAGATTCTGAACAAATGGACTCTGATTGTGTCTTGGAATTGTTGCTGTCTTGTACAACATTATGCAACTTTACTTTCTCATTTTCACTCGTGGTTTCAGGCACTGTATTGTTCTCTTCACTCTCTGTATCAGGAGGTTTGGAAGACTCTTCTATATGAGCATCAACAGGTTTGGTATCAATATCATCTACAGTAGATCCCACAGCAGATTCATCTCCAGTTTCGGGAGGCTGTGGAGGCAAGCCTAAAACAGAAGTAGAAAGCCTGGCAACCTACAAAACTCTCAAAGTAACAGGAATTTGCTCAGAGCCACCAAAACAGACAGTTTATTTAACAAGTGAGAAATAAAATAGTAAAATACCTCATCCTGCACAGACGAAGGGTCTACATCGCCTGGTTTTTTCTGCTGCGCTTTGATCGCATCAGGGAATAATTCTTCAGAACTGCCCACTGGCACATCTATAGAACCCTTATCTGAAGTTGTGATTACAGGAGTCAAGCTGGGCGCTTCCAAAGAAGAACCTAAAACTACAGTAGAATGCATACTAGCTTCAGGAATTGATGACGTATGGGTTGATCCATAACCCTGCTTTGGTTGAAGCATAGAACTCTGAGTAGAAGCCTGAGAATCTTTTTGAGGGTGAACTGAAGCAACTACATGGTCAGGAATTGATGACGCATGGGTTGATCCATAACCCTGCTTTGGTTGAAGAAGCATAGAACTCTGAGTAGAAGCCTGAGAATCTTTTTGAGGGTGAACTGAAGCAACTACATGGTCAGGAATTGATGACGCATGGGTTGATCCATAACCCTGCTTTGGTTGAAGAAGCATAGAACTCTGAGTAGAAGCCTGAGAATCTTTTTGAGGGTGAACTGAAGCAACTACATGGTCAGGAATTGATGACGCATGGGTTGATCCATAACCCTGCTTTGGTTGAAGCATAGAACTCTGAGTAGAAGCCTGAGAATCTTTTTGAGGGTGAACTGAAGCAACTACATGGTCAGGAATTGATGACGCATGGGTTGATCCATAACCCTGCTTTGGTTGAAGCATAGAACTCTGAGTAGAAGCCTGAGAATCTTTTTGAGGGTGAACTGAAGCAACTACATGCGACTTTGCATGTTTCTGAGAATCTTTGCTGGTGGGTGAACTTACCAAAGGTAACTGGTCCCTTTCCCCTGGTATTCCAGGAGCAGGTTTTACTGTCACCTGGTCCTTTTCCCCTGGAGTGCCAGGAGCTGGTTTGATTGTCACCTGCATTTAAATCATGAAGTTTTTTACATCAGCAATTATATTTTACCTTTTTTCAGGCAATGCCTGCAATCAACAATTATAGGGTGGATTTCTAAGAATAATAGTAAAAGAGTGAATCACTAACCTGATTATAAAATCTTGTTGCCTGAGGATTCTGGGAATTCTTTGGCGGAAGAGAACTTGGAGGTTGGAAGTATACTGAACTGTTATTGTAGGAATTAGGATAATAGTTAATTGGAGTTGGTGGGAATGATGATAGAGGCTGTGATTGAGGAGGCATGCTGGGATGTGATCTGGGACCAGGTGATCCATCAAGCCTTAATTCCTCATGAGTTTCTGGGTGGGTTATCTTTACAGTTTTCCGAAGACTACTAAACTTTCCAGCCTGTTGCTGAGGAAATTGTGGAGGAATATTCATTCCCATATTTCCCAACTGTGGAGGCATCTGGGGGTTCATTCCAGAAGCAAAACTTATACCTTGTCCTTGATGCATGATCCCTTGAGATGACATTGGATGGGGCGGTAGACCTGTGACAAACATTGGCTGCTGTAATGAAGGATTTCCAAGTAGAGGCATCGTCATTTGAATTGGCAAAGACGAGGCAGACATGGCCTGAGATTGAATTTGACCATGGCCCCCATATGGAACAGGAACCTGAGGTTGAGCTGGGTGAAAGGGCATTTGCATATGAATCCCAGTCAAAGGATGAGGTGAAGGCTTTAGTGTTTGTGTCAGTGGGGGTGGACCAGAAGGAGGCATGTCCCTCTTGGGCCTAGAGTGTACCGGACCCTCAAAGTTACTAAATTGATCAACCTTCCCGGAATCCTTTTTAAATTGGTCAACCTTCCCTACATCCTTTTTTGCTGGCGGTTGCACAGATGTAGATGGATTTGGCAATGCAGGCCCAGGTTTCAAAGAGTTGAGGCGAGCCTTCCAGAAGAAGAAAAAAAAAAAAAAAAAAAAAAGTATTGAAGAGAAGAAATAAAAAAGCCAAGCTAGCAACCTTAAGTATGATCATGTAATAAACACAAAACAAAGAAAACAACAGGCTATATCATATATTCACTACCAAACAAAGTGGAGAACTACTAACCTGGCTACGTTTCTGCTCATCCAAGTTTGGTGGTGCTGAGCTTGTTCGAGCAGGAACCTAAAGATAAGCATGGTGTAAAGAAGACCTCAATTCCTTGAGAGAAAATGAAAATTATAAATATCAAACTTCATGGCTCAAGAAACTCGAACTTACCTGCATCCCATTCATGAAACTAGGATTTAACGACCCAAACTGAAGAGGGAAGGACTTAGATCCATCTCCTGGAGCTAAATCATGAAAAGACACATGAGTATCAACAGGAAGCTAGAACTTGAATCAAATAAAAAAAGTAAAAAAGTAAAATATAAAAAACCTTTAGAAGTGCCTGGTGCATTAGGGTCTGGACCAGCAGAGGAATTGGAGGGTGGAGGTCTAGGTACAGCTCTGTTAATTTTTTGTGTTGGTGCATTACTGACATTAACAGGAGTACCCAAAGGAGGGACACCTGCAGTAGTAATAGGTGCAGCATCTAAAACTTCTGCAATAAGAATGAGAATGTCGAGAATTACTCAACTATAAGAAGCAAAAAGTAAAATTAATAGTTTACCACTGCCATCCCACACCATAACTACCATCAAAAAATAAAAATAATGGCATACTAAAGCCACTGGTCCAATTTTGTCAACACATTGATTATAAAATCAATTATATCTTTTTTTCAAGGAGAAAACCTTTCCAAAATTCTTGCATTGTAGACTTAAGCCCCCCCCCCCAAAAAAAAAAAAAAAAAGTAACTTGACCATTCCAACCCCGTGGAAAGGAAGAACTCACAGGACTTAGCTCAAAACAAGTTACAATAAAATTTAGCAAAAAAAAAGGAGCAATTTGTATCAAATACCACTTAATGGCTGTTCTTGGTGAGCACCATTCTGCACTCCTCTAGCAGAGCTCCCACTTGGATCACTTGCTACCCGATATCCTCCTTGTGCATTATTATACTTCTTGTTGAAGCTAACCCAAAAAAACAACAAAACAGAAAATTAAAAAAAAATAATTAAATAAATAAATAAATTGCATACAAACCCTGCCTTCAAACATAGCCATATATCCACACAAATAAAACCTAACTTACCTTCTGTTGTAAGACGAGGAGGGACTAGGAGCAGGGGCAGAGCCACTGCCACCTCCGCCGCCGCCGCCGCCGCCTTTACTACCGCGATACTGATTGAAGCTGCCGGATCGTCCAGGCCTCCTGTTCTGATAAGAGTCGCGACTTTCCGACCTCGATTGATTATGGGACATATATCCAAAACGTCGACGACAGCAGTTTTACTGTGCACGCGGATCAGCCGATCAAAAAGCAGCACAGCAATTACATTGACGGAATCGAAAAGAGGAAAAAATCAAACCTCAACAACCCTCGAATAAAGCAAAAACAAAATGAAAATCCATAAAGTTTCGAGCTTTCCACTTCCTGAAGTTACCTGGAGTGAAAGGAAGTGTTGCTGTGCAAAAATTAGGGCTTTAATGTCAGTGGCGATCGGCGGCAACCAGAAGCACCACCGCACCCATACGATATACAAACAGCGAGCAGAGAAGATGTGAGCGAGCGTTTGTGTTGTTGTTTGGTGCGTACAAATACAGAGAGAGAGAGAGAGAGAGAGAGAGAGAGAGCATATATATATATAACTTTAGAGAGAGAGTTTGTATTAGTATATATATTAAGGAAAATTAAGGAAAATACTATTATACCGTATTCTATTACCAAATATGGAGTGCTTAAACTCAATTGCACGCGAAAATGATATTGCTTCTTACTATATATAAAAAATACAAAATAATACACTAATATGCAAGGTAAGCATAATTGCATAGACACATAATTCTTGTATATTATATTTTTTGTTTGAATTTGTTATTTTTATAATATGATATGATATGATTTACTTCTATTATGTAATTTGCGATCCATTGTCATCTAATAATAAAATTACAATTTGTATTTAATTGGTCAATGTATGAATAAATACAATACAATTTGAAGTTTGAACGCGTATAAGTACACAAAGTACATCATCATCTATTCATAATATGACAGTTATATTTTCTTTCGTCGCGTTATCTGATATATAATTTTATAATTTTGCAATTAATTGATCAATAATATTAATAGTAAAATGTAAATGCATATAAGTACAGACAGTATATGAGTTTAACTCATTAGTTCAATAGGTTGTTTATGGAGCAAGAGATTAAAGTTCAAATTTAGTAGCACCCGATATTTGGCTGAGCATATTATCTTGTATAACATTTATCTATATCATATAAAACAAACTAGTTGTAATAATAATATTAATTCAAGAAAATAGTTCATAAAAATCATATTCAAAATAGTATAATATCTAACATTTTTTTGTACGAATTTATCGTGGCAATATGCAAATCAAATCATGTAAACCCACATGTTATGTAACATTAGAGTAAATTTTACCATTATAAAACAAGTTTGAAATTAACGTGTAGTTGTATCTAATAGAGTTTGGCATACAATATGCAATATTTCAACATTGTAGTATCATTAATCATCCACTTACCAATTTACCAATTGTTCAAATATAATAGTTTAATTTGTTTTGCAGCTGAAATAATTTGAAAATTGAAATATTGTCAAAGATATGTTGTATTTCACAAAATTTCACATTGGCCCTGTTTGGTAAAAAATTGGCCTATAGGTCAATTTTGACTTATTTGACCACTATTAATTGTCTGATTTAGTTAAAATATCGATATAAATGTTTGGTTAATTAGATTTTTGCAACTCTGAAATGCTAAAATTCAAAAAACTACTCCAAACAATTTTTTCAATTAGCTTTTTGAGAAAATAAATTTTACAAAACAGCTATCAGCAAACAGCTAATTTACCAAACACTTTTCTACAATAAGCTAATGTTATCAACTATTTATACCCTCTAATTAACACAATCAGCTAACAGTCATTTTACCAAACAGGGCCCTTGACTACTATATGTTTGGTTTTAATTATAGTTTCACTTGCGCATTTGAATCAATCAATCAAATACTATGGCTCGGGTGTGCATGAGCATTTCAATTGGTCATATAGGTGAAGTTTGATAACAATGATCCGGGATTTAGTATCATCCGCGACAATGTAAGAACAACTTTTCAAGGTGAGGACTACTTGTGCACAGTAAACAAATACCTAATTTTTGTGTTCAACTGAATTACAATAATTTACATCCTATCATATGTGATTGGGATTAGAGATTCAACGAGAACAACACTAGGACACGGGTCTATTTTTTGGAAAAATGGTAATACTAATAGAAATAGAAATAGAAATAGAAATAATAATAATAACAATAACGATAAAATTAAAGCGATAAATTGTACTAATTATTTCAATAACAATTCATTAAATGACATTTCGAAAATCGATTGAAATAGAGAATTATCTTAGCCACCCTATTTATTATACCAAACGCACCCCAATGCAACAAGCTTCGAAACTTGAAAAGTTGAAAGAACTGAAAGGAACGGGCCGGATTATCAAAAAAAAAAAAAGAAAGGAACGGGCCGGACTTACAGCCTGGGCCCTAAATCCACGAAATGGGCTTCGTGTTAGAAATACCCAATAGGCCCACCAAACATTGCTTACAAAATGCCCGAATATATATCTTTCATTATTTCTTCGACAACAGGAATTCTAGGGTTTCGCTGCCGCTTGCACCTCTCCTTCCACACCAGCCTGCAGTCTCAGCAGCGTTCTTCTAGCTCATCAATATGGTATTTTCCAGAACTCGCATTTTCTGCATGAAATTCGTATACACAAAGCTTTGTTCTTGGTAACAACGTAAATATGAAAGCTGCTTAGCGATCTGTATCTGCCAATTGAATGTAATTTGGTTCTGATTGTCAGTGCGGGTGTTTGTGAGTTATATTAGCAGTTATTATTGTAAAGAACAAGGAATTGGAAGAATATGATGCGTAAATTGACATGTTCTATAGTTGGAAACAGAAGGGAAATGTTTTTATTTCCCCTAGAGTTTGATTTTATTTTTAGCTTTATGGTTCATATTAGTAGAACTAGATAGAAATATACCTGCCATTGGAAAGTGGCTGGAACATGGAATTGAAGTGATATGCATGACTCTTGATTAGTATTTAGTAACCAATCTGTAATTTCAAAATTGAGCTGAGCCAGGACATGATTTGTGGGTTTACACTCTACAGAAGTGTTGGGAAGTCTATGGTTTTGCAATATTTTATGGGTGTACATAAGTGTGGTGAAGTCTACGGTTTTGCTATGTTTTGCTGCTAAAATTTGTTGTTCTAAGCTCATCCAGATAATTGTGTATTTTATGTCATGTGAGGTCGTATGGAGTGTATCCCCAATTCCCCATATGGTCTTCAATTACTGCATTAAAATGATATATTTTGCTGTTCCCTTTCATAGTTGTTAAATTGAAGTTTTTTACTTTATGCAGACTAAGAGAACCAAGAAGGCTGGTATTGTAGGAAAGTATGGTATGTGTCCACCACTGTATGAATACTCATTTTTCGGTGTTTGGTTTGTAAGTGTATATGATTTGGATTATGTCTGCTTGTCAATTGTTTAGGTACTCGTTATGGTGCCAGTTTGAGGAAGCAGATCAAGAAGATGGAAGTCAGCCAGCATAGCAAGTACTTCTGTGAGTTTTGTGGCAAGGTAAGTAGTGTGTTGTTTGTTATGATTGGAGTTTTTTACTACGGAGTATAAAATAAAATTGTTAAATACTTCATTTTTTTAATCCTGCAGTATGCTGTTAAGAGAAAGGCAGTTGGAATATGGGGATGTAAGGACTGTGGGAAAGTCAAGGCTGGTGGTGCATATACACTAAAGTAAGGTTCCCAGATTTGCTGTATTTTTGCTTTACCATTATGCCCTTCTACATTCTAACCTGGTTCCTTTATCTTTGTAGCACCGCTAGTGCTGTGACTGTAAGGAGCACCATCCGAAGGCTGCGTGAGCAGACTGAAAGCTAGATCATTTCGTGGAATACAAGTTTGAGTTGTGCTGCACAATATGTTGGGTTTTAGAACCAATGTTAAAGCCAAAGTTTTGATTTTTGTTAAACTAAGTTATGTATTTTTGAATGTGTTTTCGTCAAATTTAGTTATGTTTTTATACTGTTTTCATTCTCTTCTGCCCTCTTACCGTTATTGGTTATCCAGTCTAGGCTTGGAATGCCATACTGAAAGATCTGCAGGTTGCATAGAGATCTTGCTAAACATTGTATAAGAATTTGACACCATATGGCAAGATAATTTCTTTCAAAGTTTTAAGTTTGTTTTTGGCAATTAAAGTAAAACACAAATCATATAAATGGGTGATTTTTTTTTATTTATTAATACACACTTCAAATTAAGATGTTTTTACACAAGAAGTATTCTATATTTTATGTGCATTTTCCAATGATCTTCTGCATGTTTAATTGGAGATCACTAGATTGTTGGTTGCATCTGCTTTTACATTTAGTAATCAAGCCAATGGGTATCTTTAAAAAAATTTAAGGAAAGGATCAATAATCTGAATGCTACCTCCATAGAAAGATACACAAGGTGGGAAGGAAAGTAACATACATTCCAATATAGTTCATTTTGAGATTTGAGGCACAAATTTGCTCAACAGACAGTATGGGGATACTATTTCTTCTTATCAATCAAACAATTTTTTTTTTCCATATTGTATTACCTGGCTGATAACATCTTGTACATGAATGAAAGCCAGGTAAAAAGCATCTCTTTGGCAGAAAAATGAGATCTCTACACAGTGCATTCTCGTACTTCATTTTTAAGTCTTGTGAAGCTTGAAGCCGAATACCTTCGGAACATAGCTCTGAGATGGTTTCTGAGGCTTAAGGTGTCCATACGTCATCAAAAAGAGATGAGGAAATGTTGTTCCAAAATAAGCTCCATCGATATCTTAGCTAGTGAAGGAAATCCAATTGAGTTACTCCGTATAAATTAAAAACGGAAATGGGATGCAGAATAACAAATATTCTTGTCCATATGTTTTTTTTCCAGTAATATGGGAAGTGTGAATATCAAGTTGGCATGCAAAATTACTAAAGAAAAGTAGAAGCACAAGCAAAAGAATTCTACCCCAGCATAAAAATAGTCAAACAACACAAATATGGAAAACGTGTGCATGCAACAAAGACGAATTGAAATGAATGCAATGGGAAGATGTAAAAAGAATATACTAAAAGACAATGCAATTGGAGGATACTGCCTTGGTACTTTGATCGTGGATAGTAGATGTCTTCACACTTCGGGCAATATATTTTGACAGTGCTTGATCGCGGAATGTCCGACTGCCCAACAGGGAGGCAAGGCTGGCCACAGCAGAAAACTCGTGGGCATCTCCCAAAGTCATAGTTTTTGTACTTCTCTAGCTGAAAATTTTCAACCACAAATAGCATCAAGAATTCAATCAAAAGGTCAAAATAATACTCTGCTGCCAACACAACAAGTAATGCATCTTTAACAGCACTTTACCATCGCAGCCATTCCCTTGCTAGTCAATATGTATCGCACATGAATAAGACCATATAACATCTCTGCTGCCGATTCAACAAGTTCATTCTGCTCTTCAGTAAACATATCACCTACACATCCATAACAGAGACAATAAAGCCTCAGGCCTTTTTATATGACTACCAAATAATTGGGGCCATTACCCATTTACTCATAAATTTAGGCTCCAAAGGAAGTTAGACCAAACTCCTAAAAAGAGAAAAAACAAAAGGTGAAGAATAATTTGATCAGCCAGGACAAGAATCTCATTTCCTTCTTCCTTTATAGAGTGATTTAACTTGGAAGTACGGAGTAATATCTTATTCTATCTAGCTCTATACATAAGAGTCTTATCAACAGTTGGTTTTAAAAAAAAACCTCAACATTAAAACTTTGAAGGGTCTAATTATCTATATAATCTACAAGACTTACCATGTGAGGATTCAACATCAAGAATAAGGTCAAGTGCATAATCGTAGTATGGAACTTGACTGCTCAACCCACAAAGATTGAAATCATCTTGAATATATTCATCGTCAACCTCACAGAAGAATTCGTTTCCTCGGAGGTTGCAGAACCATGAAATCCATGATGTATCATCCCCATCAGAACCACTAACATCGGAATCTTCACTGTCTGTTTCAGATTCCTCTGCATAATAGAAGACAATTTTAGCTTGTTATAGCACAAACAAACTGTAAAGGAAAACATATAAAGCAATTAGCTATTTAGCATATATATGAAGCAATGAAGCAAATATAAGTATCACAGAAAGCTGCCACATGATATTAACAAAATGAAATCCAACAATAATAAGAGGTGCCATTGAAAAACATTTAACAGTTACATAGCAAATATGCCACATAAAAATCTTTGATGTGAACTCACAGATAATTGCCTGTAAGGAAGAAACTTGATCTTCAAGGTGATAATACAGAGCCAAGCAAGCATTTTTAATAATGTAATTTAATGGTAGAATGGAATAAGGAGTTTGCAGTGCTAACTGCAGTGAAAGACATTATCTTTTAAGACCTCGTCTTTTTCACCATTGCTAATAGTTTGGTAAGGGAGTACTTAGAAATGACAACATGTTTGTAAGAGTTTAAAAGCATAATGCAGCAGCTTGCAGATCCTATAATTCAGCAAAAGAGATAAAGTAACATTTAACCGCCGGGGAGCTACACAAAAATCAAGCATTTACAGCAATTGAGTGACCAAAGTATCCAGAGGGGAGATTTTGGGGCGAAGAATCTCACCAGAGCACTTGTTTTTGGCAGCAAAAGCAGAGGATGATCGATTGTCGCGGTGGTCGATTTGCTGCTGATGATGCTGATGCAATTTTCCACCGGCGCCGGCGGCGATGGAGGACACTGCCTTCTCCTTGGAGGACTTGGAGGTGGAAGGCGACAACTTCTCCAAGTGCTTATCCAACGCATCGTTGATTCGCTTCCGATCCAACGCCCCGCCCACGATCTCCGACTTCGACGACCCTCCTCCGCCTCCGCCTCCGCGATCCCTGTACATGTCTTGCTTCTGCCTCAAACTATTACAGTGCTTCGTATCCAACAATATATTTGCGAAGCTACGTAGATATGCGGTATTTACAGGTGGGATTCCATGGGAGAGGGAAAAACCCTAGATATGGCAGTAAAATCGAAGGGGGATTGAGGCTGAGAAAATCAAAAAGATTTTGAGAAGTTGAGATGCGAATAAAGTCATAAACTCTCTGTGCATAATGTGTTAGAAAGAGACGGAGATAATTAGGGTTTCTTTGTCTACAGAGAGGACAGCCCTGTAACTTGTGAGGTTCTCTTTCTCTCTCCTTTTAGATTACGGAGTATTTTATTTTATTAATTGGTTGTTATTATAATTTATAATTTATAATTAATTTTTTTGGCAACTAATTAATTGTTGATATGCACTAACTTTAATTTATGGAAACTCGGAAAAGCTCATAACCGTTATATGTATGTTTCGAGTGAAGTTTATATTGTAATTATAAGTGATACTTAGTAAATAACTGTATGGAGATAAATCACCTTATATTACTGGTGAATGACAAATTTAAAGTCAGAAAGACAACAAGTTATTCCTATACAGAATCGAACTTAGAAACATGAACAAAGTGCGTTAACTAAGATGCATGATACTTGTCAACTAAGGATGTAAATAAGTTGAGCAGCTTGCGAGCCGCTCGATCAAAGCTCGGCTCGTGAATGGTCAACTTCAAGTTTGAGCCGGCTCGTTTCAAAATAGAATTGCGCTCGAGCTCAATTATTATTATTATTATTATATATCTTAAAGGCACACTCTTGTATGCCCGGATTCTCAAAATTATAAACAAGACAAACAACACTAAATGTAGTTAACTATGGTTAGTTGTATTTTGTTATCACAATTCACAACTTTATACTTTATATTAAACTAATTAAATTCAAACTGATAAAAATAATATTTGTGTATACTTTTATTTTGTTAAAATTATGGTTTATGTAATATATATATATATATATATATATATATATATATATATATATATATATATATGTGTGTGTGTGTGTGTGTGTGTGTGTGTGTGTACATATATTCAATATTAGTCTTGTTTTAATTATCTTAATAAAATAATGAACCATTTGAATGAAAAATACTCATAGCCATACATAGGGTTAAAAGTACTTGTATTTAAACTAAACAAAATCATGTTAGCCAAATGTATATTTCATTTTTGGTATTTGACACCGTGGCTCTTTGATCCGATAATTCAGACACGAGATAAAGAAATGAGTCAAATAAATCATCAAATTTTATCTAAAAATTAAATTAGGATCATAAACTTTTTAAAGTTACAATTAAATCAGTCAAAATCTCATTTTAGTGCAATAAAGTTCAAAAACCAATTAGTGACATACTATTACAGGTCACAAGGTTCTAGTCAACATTCCAACAACAAAACGACCGACGACCGTAAAACGGTCTCTACAGTTGCGCGGTCGATTTTGAATTAACGGAGAAGGCAACCCTCTCCGGTGAGAAGGTAGTTGCCTTCTCCATAATTTAAAACTGACCCGCGATCGTTCTATGACTGTCGGTCGATTTGTTGTCGAAAATGTCATTGGAATGTTGAAGGGAACCTAGTGACCTGTGATAGCAAGTCACTAATTGATTTTTGTATTTATTGTACTAAAATGTGATGTTAACAGATTTAATTGCAACTTGAAAAAGTTTAAGAATCTAATTAACTTTTTAAGTAAAGTTTGGAGGCATATTTGACCATTTTCACTATATAATAATTTATAAAACTAACGCTTTAATAATTAGTAATTAAAATTCAAACCCCAAATAATACGGCAAATTATGCTGTGCATCCGTATGCACCATGCATGGTGCATACGGATGCAAAAACGACGTCGTTTTAATAAAACGCGCGTTTCTCTTAAAAAAAAAAAATCAGGTTCGATTCCCAGCAACAACATATGAACTAAAATTTCATAATCGATGAACTATATTTCCATAATCGATGAACTATAATTCCATAATCGATGAACTATAATTCCATAATCTAATCTATGAACTAAAAATTCCAGAATGAATGAACTAAAATTCCATAATCTATAAACTAAAATTTCAGAATCGATGAACTACAATTCCATAATCGATGAACTATAATTCCATAATCAATGAACTATAATTCCATAATCTATGAACTAAAATTCCAGAATGAATGAACAATATAATGTTGTTGCTGGGAATCGAACCTGAAAATTTTTTAAAGGGGAGACGCGCGTTTTTTAATAAAACGACGTCGTTTTGGCATCCGTATGCACCATGCATGGTGCATACGAATGCACAGCATAACGATTGAAATAATACCTAATGTCTAAATTATAGAATCCTCAAATTAATTTTGTCTATTCCATTTCTGCGTCTCTGACTGTCTATCGCAACTCCGAGCATCCGACGACGCGAATAAGCTACAAGCCGACGTTGCTGCTGTCGCGGCCCGCCCACCCCTGCGACGAAGAAGCTAGTACTAAAGGTTGGTGAATGTTTTTAAGGAATACAATAAAAATGTTGATGGTTTGCGTGCACTATCCTTTTAATTTGATGAAGGTGTTAAAATGTTGTATATTCTTCATCCATCGCTCTCGATCGTGTTGCAGTGCTCCTCATTATAGAGAGGATCTTATTTATACTTCGGTAGATAAATAATTTTAGTAAAAAAGCAAATTTTTTAAAAATAATTTTTTAGTTGGATAATAAAATTTGTCAGTGATGAGGAAAATTCAGAATAATAGAATTTGTGAGTGATGAGGAAAGTTCACAACGAAGATAAACTCTCACTCTCTCTGCTATCACGTATATTCCGATTGTGTAATAATAGCATGTAAAACCCTAGCTATAAACTTCATTTTACTTTCCAGAAACACTGGAAAAGGAGATAAATCGCGGGTGCTTTTCGTGTGATCAGTCTCTTTTGGCAGATTGACAATGGCTGCGACGCTTAGGAATCTGAAGATCAAGACGTCGACTTGCAAACGCATAGTGAAGGAGCTGCACTCCTACGAGAAGGAGGTGGAGAGAGAATCCGCCAAGACCGCTGATATGAAGGCTAAAGGCGCCGATCCATATGACCTCAAACAACAGGTTTGGCATTTCTCCTCATGTCCAGACTCCAAAAGCTGACAATTTGTTCCATTGATTGGTACTATAGACAATTAACTAGTGTAAAGATTATGTTTTTGACCGTATAAAATTTGTTCTTTTGGGATAGTTGCTCTATCAATGGTTGCTAAATGCACTTGGGACTTGTTTTCAAGTGGGAGTCGGGAGTCTATCAAGGTGATAACAAAAATTAAGAAAAGATTTGATCTTTTGGGATAGTTGCTAAATGCACTTGGGACTTTGGGATAGTTCTAAACCCTTATCCCTAACCAGCAAAGGACCTAGGTTGCCAATTGGTGAATGGCTACTCTTGCTGAGAGTCGGACTTGTAACCTTGTGGTTACCAAGCCCGACCAACTTGGCTAGTTGGCTGGGGTTGCCCCCTTGGGAGCAACTATTTTTAGTATTGTGTTTAGTATACTAAGAACTCGGTAGTGGACATTAAGAGGCTGTTGGTGTGAGCATGTGAAGTACTAAATTTGATAGAACTCTGGTTAAATAGCTTGGATTCTCTATGCCTATTGTTAGTAAGGCACTAAGGCGTGTGTGTTTGCTTGTAGTAGTGTTTAGCATACTAAGAGCTCGGTAGTGGACATTAAGAGGGGGTTGGTGTGAGTTACTAAATTTGATAGATCTCTGGTTGAATAGCCTGAATTCTTTATGCTTATTGTTAGTAAGATGGGTAATGTTAAATATCCCCGATGGGGAGTTGTGTGGCTTCCTGGACAGCCACACCTAGAGTGCTTTGAGGAATATATAGAGATTAGTGATTACTGAAAATGGATTATCTAGATATCCATCAAATGAGTCTGCTTTTTAAATCAAGACACATTTTCAATTGCTTCATTTTCTTTGGGATGTATTTTGAAGTTTGATATCAAATACTAGGACTAAAACTCTAAAACTTTACTTCAAGATTTATACGTCTGTAGTTGATCACTAGCTGTATTTCGAAAGTATGTTTTGAACTTTGAAGAATCATCGAGTGATATCTTGTGCAATGCTAATGTCTTTTATTGGCTTAGTGAAGTTATTCTGGAAGTTTAGGCTGTAGAATTTTGATGTTGCTTCCCACTTGATGATATATTGGTTGTGTGATTGGGTGATGCGGCCATGATCCACCAATAGCCTCTTAAAATTGAAGCTTTTAAAGTGTGATTAATGTACAGGCTCTTTCTATGGTCTGCATATTATCAATATCATTATTCTCCTTGTGTTTTATTTTGTTAAACAATTTTTTATATGTATTATGCAGGAAAACGTGCTGGCTGAATCCAGAATGATGATACCCGATTGCCACAAGCGTTTAGAAGCTGCACTGACTGACCTTAAAGGAACCCTGGTACTATATCATTTACTGGAAGCGGTCATTCTTTAGATTTAACCATTTTCCTGTTTAACAGCTCGACTAAGGCATAGGCTAGGTATCTTGTGAAATTTTATTTTAGTTGTTTCACAACCCAACATCTAGAGATGTGTAGAAAAGTAATCCCAAAGTACCGACTCTATTCTTAAGCTCATTAACTTGCACTACTTGCAAAATTGCATCACATTTCTGTTCTAGAGTATATTTGGCAACTGAGGAGGTCACATGATATCCATTCTTTTGCTTGGTTTATAATGGAAATCTAATATTCAGCATTGAGCTTCTCTTGAAATTGAGGGCTCTCCCTTTCTTGTTTCATTATTTTCTTCTACTTCCCCAGTTGCAGCATTGAGCTTCTCTTGAAATTGAAGTAATATATTCTATAGAATGAAAGAACGATATGCATAGCTGTGCCACTCTTTAAGTGGTTTTGTGATTTGTTTTGCCTGTCGAGGTGGCTACATAATGCTTAATTAAACTCGCGTTTCAATGACTTAAAGAAGCACTTAGAATATTACTGACCATATGGGCATTACTCTCATGAAATCTCTTTGTTGATGTTTGAAACACAAGCCAACTACAAAAAGTTTTCTGCTTTTGCTTCCCTCTATTTAGCTAGAGTAAATCTTAATGACTGCTAACATGGAATCTATCCTCAGGTTGAGATCGAAGAGGAGTTGAACCAAAAAGAAGGCCCCGAGGTTGAAGAAGCTCAAAAAGTCATAACCGAGGTTGAACAGGTGCTTCAAAGTACAGAAGCATAGCGTACGAAAGTCTCGCCGCCTTGCTTTCTGGATGTCATGTTTTAAGCTTTCTACAGCTCATGATAATGTGTGATTTTGTAACTGAATGTTCATCATCCATCATGACAATTTTCATTGTGCAAGACAATATGTAATGGCCATGGAGTGTTCATCAACTGTGATGGCTTATTGTGTAAAACAACATCATTTACTCTGACTGCTCATCATGTCAAAGTTTAATCTAAATTTCTAAAATGCAACAAAAATATGCCAATCCAACTACATTTCCAAATACATTTAGTGATAAATTACAAATAAATTTGTATTTGAATGTTATTACTTTTATGAAATCTAAGAACATAAAAAATGATGGTGTGAATTGGATCAAAGTATGTGTTTACACTTTATAATAATATAGTTGATGTTATTTATATATGTTGCAAGAATTGTGCCTAGGTGGTGCCCGGCTGCGTTGAAGAACGCTGAAATCGGCCTCCTCCGCATGCAGTTGAGCATCTAGACGGCCGAATCTTTTTATTTTATTTTATTTTATTTTTTTATTTATTTTTTTAAAGCAAATAACCATGTAAAAAATAAAATAAAAATTGTAAACAATTAAAAATAATAAAAAATCAGTCAGTCTAGTATTTTTTTCAACACTGTAATTGACAAGATCAGTGTCATGATGATAAATTGCAAGTGGTGTTAATGAGTATTATCAAACAACAGTATTGTTCAATAATATGGTAGACGTATGACAACCTAGTTCATATAGTTTGACAACCTAGTCCATATATACATATAGTATTTAGCGTAGATTGTGACAGATGCATGATAATCTAGTCCATATAGTATGGAGATGCAAAAAAAAAAAAAACTAATTCATATATAATATGGTAGACGCACGACATCATATTTCATATAATGTGGTAGGTAACAACTTAGTCCATATAGTGTGGTAGCACAGAATGATTTGCCAAACGGGACCTATAACCTATTACACGTGTAGCATTCAGGAAACATTAAAAAAACCTCAAATATTTGTTTCCTCATACTTCAACAGTTGAACGTCACCTAACAACCTATAACTACCATATCAAATTCAAGCTAGGGTTTCTACTGTGTGTCTGCAACGCACCAATTCCCAGGGGCTTTGATTCTCAGCTTTTACGTTTTTGAGGCTTTTGTGCTTTAGGATAACTATGCCTCCGAGAGCGAGGAAGACGGCAGCCGGACCGGGCGCGAAAAGAGGGGGTCGGCCCATTCGCGGGGCGTCCAGGGTCCAGCCCCTGCCTGCCGAGGAGCCGTTGAAGACTGTGAAGGTCGAAGAAGAGGAGAAACCCTCGCCGGGGTCTAAAATGGAGCCGAAGGTTGAGGAAAAGCCACTAGCTGTTAAGGAGAAATCCGTGACGCCGCCGAAAATTGAACCAGAGATGGAGAAACGTGAGGTTGAGAAGAAACATGAGAACCGGTCTGGTCCTGGTAAGAGTAAGTGATTTGCTTGTAAAGATGTGTGTTTTTTTTAATAGATATAATGTATTTCTATAACCGGAATTTGTGAATTCTGACTATAGATCTGTTTACTTAAGCTTAGTGTAACCTTAAGTCTGATTACATGTCCTGAAATTTTAGCCGTTCTGCAGAATTATAAGGAATTGGGGCTGTGTTGTATGTTAATCTGCATAATCAGACCAAACTTCTGGTTGCTATAACTAGGTTAAATATCCTAATGATTAGTGGTGTACTGGTGTCCACTTTCTCTTTGGGGTTTTTTCCCCAATATGGAGTGAAATTTATTGGCTGCCCATTATGGAGTAGCAATTTTCAGCTGAAACTTACTCCCAATATCAACTTTATTAAATAGCAAATTCCCCATGAGAGTTGGGTGACATACTGACATCCGCGGATTTTGAACAACAAGGTCTCAGGTATGGCAAAGGAGTGCCATATAGTGATATAGGTTTATGTTCAATCAGAACTGAGTGACCTCTGTCCTCCTTGCCTTGTGGTTCAAGCTGGGAGTGTGGAGCGAGTGCCATTAAATATCTATCAAGATGGGTTATGCAACTCTGAGTTGTTCTTTAGAAATTCATGGAGAATACATTTCATATACAAATTTGTGTTTTATGAATTACTGCTGCAGAAAAATGAACTAATTATTGCTGCAGAACAGGTATATAAGTAGGTTTGTTCAAAATTTCTGTTGGAGAAACATGTGTATTTTGGTTCACTTAAACTTGCATGTGTAGGGTTTTGGCTTTGGCGTTTGGTAATTTCAGAGGTTAGTAGAAGCTGAAGGTTGGAGTTAGGGAGGGGGTTATATTCTTCTTCAAGGAGGAAAGAAGAAGATAGGCTGAAGACCTGAAGTCATTGGTGCACTAGTATGTGTTGCCAAATTCTGAAGGGAAAACCTTCTATTTAAGTGTTTTTGTATGCTTTAATTTTATTTGTAAACCAGGGTACTCTTTTCAGGAGCTTCTGTTGATGATTTAAGAGTTTTAGCCATGTGCATTTAAATTGGAATTTCTGAGTATTATAAAAATTTCAAGTTGGTGGTCACTACAAATTTTATATTTTCAAATTGTTGATTGGCCTTCTGGATGTTTCTCTCTCATTGTGGCAGAAGATGAAGTTAAAGAGTCAGTTGATGAATATGAAAAGGATGAAAGGTTAGATTTGGAGGACAACGAACCTGAGTATGAAACTGAAGAGTATACTGCTGTAGATTATGATGAAAGGGGAACTGATCAGGAGGATATAGAGGAAGAGTGTGTTGAAGTTGTGGAAGAACTTGAGGAGGGTGATTTTGGTGAAGAGGAAGATGGTGATATGGGTGAGGAGGAAGTTGAAGATGTCCATGACTCCCATGAGGATGTTGAGGTTGAAGAAGATAATGACCACCATGCTGAGATGGTTGATGCAGCTGAGGAGGAAGAACATCATGAAATTGTGAAGGAAAGGATGAAGCGCAAGGAGTTTGAAATTTTTGTAGGTGGCTTAGACAAGGATGCTACTGAGGATGATCTTAAAAAGGTCTTTAGTCAAGTTGGTGAAGTTACTGAAGTGAGGCTTATGATGAATCCTCAGACCAAGAAGAACAAAGGATTTGCATTTTTGCGTTTTGCAACAGTTGAACAAGCCAGGCGAGCTTGTAAAGAAATGAAACTTCCAGTGGTATTTTATTGATTTTGTAGTTGTAATGGTTACTAGTTTTTAGTTTGTAAAAGAATATTTTCCTGAAAAACTAAATTTTCAGGTTAATGGGAAACAATGTGGTGTCACACCAAGTCAAGACAGTGATACCCTGTTTTTGGGTAACATATGCAAGACATGGACAGAGAAAGCTGTAAGTGGATTAGGCTGATTAATGTTAGCATCCTTCATCAAGTTATTAGATTCTATAAGTTGCGTAATAGCTGTCCTCTTGACATTGCCTTAACTCCAGTTAAAGGACAAGTTGAAGCACTATGGTGTTGAGAATATTAATGATTTGACATTAGTTGAGGACACAAATAATGTCGGGATGAATCGAGGCTTTGCATTCTTGGAGTTCTCCTCGCGCTCAGATGCCATGGATGCATTTAAGTGTCTGCAGAAGCGAAATGTTGTTTTTGGAGTTGACAAGCCTGCCAAGGTTTCATTTTCAGATTCATTCATTGATCCAGGTGATAAAATCATGGCACAGGTAAACACTTTGGATCTGGTTCTGAAATTATATAAGGGACAATAGTTTCATACCTGTTAGCTGGGATACCATCAATGTACAGGCTTTTTTGGTAATGGCTTGACAGATCAGGATTGATAACTGGTCCATATTATATTGTTCTTGTTTTACTTGGTTCTAATATGCTACAGCAGTGAAGGTTGAGAGGGAATGATCTAATGTACAGATGATAACATTTAAAGTTCATCACTACCCTTTTGTAAAAAAAGAAAAAGAAAAAAAGACCATTGAGAATTTGAGATTATACTGCCCATAGTGCTCTCGTATAGTCCTTAGCATATATAAACATGGTCAAGTTTTTTGTTATTTCTAGGGTTGTGTAATGTGGTCTTATATGGATGGAATGTACTTAGAGTACTCTGAGAGTCTGAGGTTCCTTGGGGGGGGGGGGGGGGGGGGGGGATAATGCTTTTATTCTTTTGTTTGTTTGTTGTTGTGTGTGTGTTTTGTTTTGTTTTTGGTTTTTGGTTTTCGAGGGAGTTGCTTCTACAACATTTTTCCTTGACTTTTTATAACAATATCTGTTAAGTGGCTAATGATATTATGATTATAGGTCAAAACAGTGTTCGTGGATGGCCTTTCTGCATCTTGGGATGAGAATCATGTCCACAACCTTCTTAAAAAATATGGGAAGATTGAAAAAATTGAGCTTGCTTGTAACATGCCATCTGCCAAGAGAAAGGATTTTGGATTTGTTACTTTTGACTCCCATGATGCTGCAGTCACTTGTGCTAAAATGATTAACAATGAGGAGCTAGGTGAAGGAGATAATAAGGTTTGTCTCCTAACTGGAAAGCTTGTTAGCCTACTAATGCAAAATGGATTTGTTGAAGTACTACTTGTATTTCAGGCGAAGGTTAGGGCTAGATTGTCAAGACCACTTTCAAGGGCCAGGGGAAAGTATGGTGGCCGGGGTGATGTCCGACATAGGCATGGACCAGTAAGAGTTCCCAGGGCCCCATGGGGTCGTCCAGTCCCACCTAGTCTTCCTGTGCGTCGACCAAGAACTGGTATGCGTGTGCAACCTGTGGTTGATCGTAGTTTCAGACGACCCGTTGGATATAGAGATTCTCGACCAGTCATGACCATACCACCTCGGAGCAGACCAGTGGCTCCTCCTTTGGCCCGAAGGTCCTATAACAGGAGACAACCTGGTATGCATGATTTTTTTTTTTCTCTCTTCTTTTGACAGGCTTTGTTTCACCCCTGGCACTGATAACTTGTGCTTTTGCCATACTTGTAGCTCCTGTATATCCAAAAAATAGTTTTAAAAGGGACTATGAGCGGCGTGAAGAGCTTGCTCCTCCTAGAAGCAGAGATTCAACAGCCTATGCTCATAGACTGTCTTCCGATAAGCGTACATTGTATAGAGAGGAATATTCTTCCCGTGGGCCTAGCTATCCTGATTTGCCAATAGAAACATCTCGAACTTCAGCAAGAAGAGCTTATGTTGATGATAACTATGGCCCTGTGATTGAAAGACAACCTCCAGCATACTACCGTGAGGGACGTGGTCATGAATATGAGTCTATATCTGGCTCAAAACGTTCATATTCTGCACTTGTGAGTGATTATCTCACCTAATAGTTATTCTCTGGCATGCATATTAGTCTCCTTCATCACTTTTCTGGCTGATGTTGAATTACTTATTTCTCCTCTTGTGTACTTGTCAGGACGATGTCCCTCCTCGATATGATGATCCAGGAGTGCGACATTCCCGTGCACGTTTGAGTTATGATGTTGCAGGGGGCAATGCTTCTCAATATGGGGATGCCTATGGTGACAGGTTTGTTGTCATTAACTTGAAGAAAGTATTTAGGGTGTGTTTGGTTCAAACATTGGAGTCGGAATGGTAATGAGAATCAAATACTCGGTAATGGTAATGTGTTTAAGTAGAATAAGCCACTTTGTTTGGTAGTAAATAAGAATTAGAATCAAAATAAATAAATAAATAAAAATATATATACACATACATATGTGTATATATATTAAAATTCCATATTTAATCCATGGACACTGGCTTTTTTTATTTTTTTTTACATTTTTTTCTTATTTTTTATTCCATTTTTCAAAAGTAGAGGAGTAAAAGGGTAGTGAGTTTTGTAATTACTAAAGGATTTGAAACCAATAGTAGGCAAACAAACATGATAATGGGTATCAGAACCCATAGTAGGGTGCAAAAGTCTCCAACCAAACACACCCTCAGTTTCCTTTTCGCCATCTGCATTACTATACTGACTTGTCTTTTGTTTTATAGCAGACTTGGGAGGTCTAATCTTGGATATAGTGGCAGCAGAAGTAGTATATCTAGTCAGGATTCACGTGGGCTGTATAATAGTCGCCATGGTATGGGCTATAGTGGAGGTGTGTTGAGAACATCGTCGATGTAACACAAGTGCTATATATCTAGAATACATACACTTTGAATTGAACCTGAATCGTCATTTTTTTTTTTTTTTTAAATTCCTCACAGGCTCCTATAGTCGTAGTGACGCTGGTGGGGTGTACTCATCGGGGTATGGTGGTAATTACGTGTCTCGTGGTGGTGATGTATGCTTCTCCTGACATATCCTTTACTCTTGCGTTTAGTATCTTAACACTTTTTAACAAACTTTTGTTACTGCTGAAATTTCAGGTCGGTGGTAGTTCCTATTCGTCACTTTATTCTAGTCGTGGCATGGGTGGTAGTGGCTATATGGGGAGCGGTGGGTCTGGATCTTATTATTGAGGTAAGTTACTAGATGAAGACTTCCCTGCCCCCCTTCCACCAAAAAGTAAACGAACTAGAAGAAGGGCAGTTTTGTCATATTTTTTGCTCGAACGGAATATATGATTGTTTGAAGTTATAGCTCGTGCTTCTTCTTCTCAAGGTCCTGTCGATAAGGACAGGATGATCATGATGGTTATTGAGATGGAAGTATAAGTATAACAAGCAAGTAAAGGGTCTTTGTGGTTTGAGGGAGAAGATGCTTATTATATCCAATCATTTGATGCAAGAGGAATATGGTGAGATCAGTTTAAATCATAGATGTAATGACAGTTTAGTTTCCTAGTGATAGGACAACTGTTTACTAAATGATATTTATTTCAATTATTTTTTTATTGGTATATATACTTGCTAGAGTTTAATGGAATAACCAAGGAGTTTCAAAACATTCATTTACTATAGTAAGGTATAGACATGCATTACTGCAATTCCCATATTCTGTATATATAATATATCAAGAATATTATATTATAATATAATATAGCATCGGAAGGAGTGGTCTAGTAGGTAGAGTATAAGTCTCATACGTAAAAGTCATGAGTTCAATTTTTATCAATACCTTCTTAATCGGGCTGATCTAGTAGGTAGGTAAGATCTTTGTATTTGAAAGTTATGATTTTTATTTTTACCAATACTCCTGGTTGAGTTCGTTGCACATAATCTTTGTAATGTGATTTACATCTCATGTGTGGTTTACTTAATGTGTACTCTCAAGTAATGTCTTATGTTTTTCTAGTCACCATGAGAAATTGCGAATCCCATCTCTCTTAAGAATTGCAATTTTATAATACATGAGTAAAAATTAAACATAAAAAAAATTAAATTTAAAAAGAAAAATGGTCAAATAAGTTTTTGAAATTCTGAACTTTATTCAAAAAGTTAATTAGGTCCTTACAATTTTTAAAATTTACAAATAAACATGTTATTTTGGAACATTGAAGCTCAAAATTGATTGTTGACCTATAATTACATGTTACTAGGGTTCTGACGAATCTCTAACCAGTTTTGGAGAACGTATAGTCGTCGGTCGCGTTTGATCTCCTTCTCCAAACATGACGAACGGTCGCCGGTGTTTGGTGTCGAAAATTAGTCGGAGAATTTTTGGAATGTTAGTGACTTGCAATTATAGGTCACCAATTCAATATTCTAAAATAACATGTTTATAGATTTAATAATTATAACTATAAAAATTTAAAGGTCCAATTAACTTTTGAATAAAATTCATGGTCTATTGACTATTTTTTTAAAAAAATTTAAAATGATAAAAAATAATAAAGAAAATTAGTTTTTTTTTTTTTTTTTTTTTTTTTTTTGGGATCATAAAGGAGAGGGAAACCCAAAAATCACATGTGCCTGTCAAAAGTTGCTCCCAATTGATCATGAAGAAATATTTTATTTAAGTGATAAATAATAAACATGATGTTGAAGACTTTTCGAGCATGATTGTAATATACTACGTAAGAGATTAGGGTGCAATTATTATTATTAATATATTAATTAATATATATATTAGTATAAAAGCGATAGGGTAATGTTATTTTAATAGCGTACTAAATTAGAAATCCACAGAGACAGAATCTTTTTGTCTGTGTGGTCTCATAAGTCATAATACATAAACGCCCGCCCCTGGCAAAGCTGCTAGAGTTTAGAGTTTACCACGGAAACGGACTCAATGAAGCCCGGCCCATAAGGAATCTTCTCAGCCCCATGTCGGCGGCGGCGGCGGCGGCGACGGCAGACAAACAGCGCCCACGGCCCACGGTCAAATACATATAAAAACCAAAACTAATAGGGAAGGCGCACGTTAACAGTCTCCGCGTCCCCCGGCTCACATTAGCCTCCCCTCCCTTAGCGGTGGCCTCATCTTTCTAGCTCTCCACATCAGCCGCAATCCACCACCCCAAACCCCTTTAAACCTAACCCTATCGCCCCACCATTCATTATGTCACCGTTCTCCGCCGCCCATAAATCCCCTCCTCCCCCTCTTACCTTACTACGCGCTTTCACTTTTTCTCACACGCGCCTTCCGCCATGGCCGCGTCGCCCACCCAATCGAACCAGGAACAGTGTACGACCCCGCCCGAGATCCCGTTCGCCAGCGTCACCGTCGCGTCCCACGGCGCCGGCGCTTCCTCTCGCCGCCTCCCTCCGCCGTGCTGGTCCCACGACGAGACCGTAGCGCTCATCGACGCTTATAGGGACAAGTGGTATTCCCTCCGCCGCGGGAATCTCCGGGCGAATCACTGGCAGGAAGTCGCGGAGGATATCGCCGTCCGGTGCCCTGTCGATCCTCCCAAGACCTCGATGCAGTGCCGGCACAAGATGGAGAAGCTTCGGAAACGCTACCGCGCTGAGATCCAACGCGCGGCTTCCTACGGCGGTGGCTCCACCCGCCGCTACTGCTCCACCTGGATCCACTTCAAACGCATGGACGCCATGGAAAGGGGCCCCGACGCGGCCTCTCCGCCACAGGATGAGGAAGAATTTGAAGATGAGCCGGAGGATTTCAAGCAAAATAGCGTTAAACACATCGGTGATATATACAGCCAGCACAATCTGAATTCTAATAAACGGAATAACTTTCAAGAGCCTATGAGTAATGGCGGAGCTGGATTTCGGATCCGAATTCCCAGTGCTAGGCCTATCCCCACTCCTCCCATGGCCAAGCCTTACAGCAAAATTGATGAAATGTTGATCCAATTCCCTAACCCTAACCCTAACCCTAATCATGGCTCCAGTAGGTCGTATAGACGAGATGGGGTTATGAAGAAAGAGAAAGCTTCTTCTTTGGGGAAAAGGATCGTTGAAGAGGTGGTTGAGAAGAGAAATGGAGACCCCATAGCAGAGGCAGTGGCAGCAATTAAGATGCTGGGAGAAGGATTAGTGAGGGTAGAGAATATGAAAATGGATGTCGCAAGGGAGTTAGAACAGATGAAGATGGAAATGGAGATGAAGAAGACTGAAATGATTCTTGAATCCCAACAAAAGATCGTCGAAGCTTTTGCCATGTCATTCTCTGAAAAGAACCCTAAGAAGGCCAGGAGAATGCCAACCCCTGAATGTTAGAGGGGCTGTGACTGATCTCCAGTGGTAAATTTCCCTCTTTCAAACTTTGGAATGAATTATTGGCTTGGGATGGATATATGAGTGCTGTTCAACTTTCGAATTCTGGCAAAACCGCAAACAATTTGAACATTTAGGTTCTGAAGTTGCTTCTCATCTTGATGACACTGCATTTCTTAAGCCTTGCCTTTTGCTTTTTCAGTAGTATAGGAACTCAGCACTTTAGTAGTGTATCTTGTTTATGAACTGATATAGGTTTTCTCTAGCAATTGCAGTATTTATCAATCAATTTGTTTAGAACGGAACTTTTTATTTTGCTTGGAGCTTGTCTTCTTCATTGTTTATTCATGTTTCTGCTGCACATTTTGCAATGCTACTCTCTTGTTCCCCAAGGCTCTGAAATCTCAGTTCCTACATATTACACAAAATGTATGAAAAATTAGACATTCCAGAGTCTTGAGACTTTGTGGACAAACTAATCACAAAAAAATGTTTAGGGGCTGCTAGAATTGTTATCCTGTCTGGTCTGGTGGCATTTGTCATGATAGTTTGAATGTTTAAGGGGTGGCAATTGACAATGCATTTATCCCTTTCAATATATCTATATTTTTGGGTGACAAGGAGAACCCACAACCAGTAGGGTAAACTCTGTCTTGTGACCCTAACCAGCAAAAGACTACAAGGACCGCTCATAGCTAATCAACTCAAATCAAGAAGGCTAACAGTCTAACCAACTTGGTTGGAATTGCTCTTTACCCTTTCAATATTGCTTCTTCCATTGGATGACACATTGACACCTTAACTTTTGTAGGAAACTAGAATTGAAGGTGTTAAGTTTATGCTTCAATCTCTCAGGCTAAATTCATTATATTATAGAAGGTGTTCTGGCTTTGAAAGATGATGATGAGGGCAAGGGTTTTCCACATTGCAGCTGTGGCTTTTCACTCCTTATGGGGTCAAGCTTCATGAAAGCTGTTGGTTGTGTATTTTACTGTGCCTGTTTAATCTTTGACAGACAGTTGGACTGTGACTGTAGATGCATTAGTGCTAACACACTACTCACACTACTATGTCATGAGGGAAATGGATTGTATATCTGCATACCATTTCAGCATTTATCATTTAGTGACAGTTCATATTTCCATACAACCAAGTTTTTTTTTTTTCTTTTTTTTTGGGATCAACGAGAGCGGCAACCCAACACAACCAATCAACGGTCTTGGCAAGTTGGTCAGATTGCTGCTTGGTATCTATAAGGTTTTAAGTTCGACTCTATGTGGAACTCTCAGAGTGGTCTATTAGCCTTTTTTGGTTTGAATCTCAAACATGTAAATACAACTTTTAATACAATCCTATAATTGGGAGAAGTGAAATAAAAGATTGGGATCTTAGTTATTGTCAAAAAGCAAAAGCATATATATCATATATATATACTAAAACTAGGTACAAATCCACAAGCCCCCTGTTATGGTCCCATACATGCAGCATACAACAACAATTGCTAGCAGTAAAGCTGTTGCAACACATGCATGTTTTTTTTTTTCCTTAGAATTGCTTCCTTTTTGTTTGTTTATTTTTGCAGGAAAAAAAATAGAGAAATAAGAGGAGCTACACACAGCACAACCCTTCATTCTCTCTAGAAAAACTTGAATCACTACAAGACCTGATGATCTGTCTGTCTCAAGTCTCAAGTGGGCACATGCCACTCCTAGTTGTTCCATGATTAATTGCACATGCTGTGTGTTCCCTCCCCAGAATCAAATACAACTGTCAACTGGCATTACTTGTCTTCACTACCAAAAATAACCAAAATATACCTACCCCCCCCCCCCCCCCCCAACTTATTCTCACTTTTTATCAAGCAAGCTCTTATTACTACGTCAAAAATGTGACAGGATAATGTACACCACTTTCGCCTTGTAATAGGATGCTAAAAGCTCAGTTCGGTCCTGGGTAATAAATTGTGGACAAGGACGCATGATCAAGCCCTGATAGTTGCAGTGTGAGAGTTACACCTAATGTAGTGGGCTTCTTGTGAGTATCGGGCACTGGTCCTCCCACCTAATTGGCCACTGAGTCACTATGATTTACTCCTTCACTATCTGGTCGGGCTGGGGTGTGGGGCAATTCAATGACACCTAATCAAGCCCTAACAGTTACAGTGTGAGAGTTACACCTAATGTAGTGGGCTCCTTGTGAGCATCGGACACTAGTTCTCCCACCAAGTTACACCTAATGTAGTGGACTGAGCATCGGACACTAGTTTTCTCACCTAATTGGTCACTGAGTCACTCTGATTTACCTCTTCACTATCTTGTCGGGCTGGGGCGTGAGGCAATTTCACCTTTATCTTGTGAACAAGGATGTTGGACTTGGCCCTTCAGACTTTTACTCACCCAACTAGTTACTTTCTCATTAGATTACTACAAACTTAATGTTAAACTGATTTAACAGTAAAATTTCCAGTTAGATCATTCATGTCTTTTTCTCTGTCAGTCTTACCCCCTTCCAACCTGTTCTCTTGGCCAAGAACCAGAATCTTGAACTGGATAGCAACTTTTTTTGTGTGGCAATAATGGTAAAAGAAGAGAAGAGAGCACTCCTATGAAGTATAGAAACACCCAGGGTCCTTATAAATTTTAACACAATCAGATTACAAATCCCAAACCAGAGGGACAAAAACACTAACTCTAACCTAATATACTACATTAACCAGAACAATTGAGCTCAAACAGCTAGTTGCTGTTGTTGTTGTTGTTGTTGATGGGAAGATTCATCATCATTGAAACATATGTATTGATGTTGGGTTGGTGATCTACCACATAGGTTAGATTCTGCAAGATCTGACGGTGTAGGATGGAGGAGCAACATCTCTCTCTGGAGGTGCAAACAGTAGGTCTGAAAAGTAGTGGGGGTCACATTCAAGTGAAATCCCAATCCAAATAGGAAATCCACTTCAAGAAAGTTCATCTCTGTTGTGCTGATTCCTCCTACCTTTGCATAGTATGCATTGTTGTAATACCTGCAAATGTTTCCCACACCATACAAAATTCAGAATCCTCTTTCCTCTACATACACTTATATGCAAGAATTTCATCGCAGTTAGCGAAAATCCCAGCTAAGTTGATCAGACTGTTAACTTGGTAACCACAAGATTATAAGTTCTACTCCCACCCCGAACGGCCTGTGTTGACCTTATTGGTTTTTGCCGGTCAGCTATGGACTCTGATTTACCTTCGAGTAGTGGCTGCGGGTTTACCTCGTTTTCAAAACAGAATTATGTGCACTCACATTAATCAAGAATACATACTACATTATGTAGTCAAAATCGTGGTGAGATCGAGCAATTTATGATATTTACTCATTCTTAACGAGCATAGTAAAAAAAAACCGGTTTTTAAAGGGGTTGGACTTGACCGGACAAGCAAGTAAAGGTTAAGGAATCTTCCAATAATATCCCCACACCACAATGCTGTTTCAATGGTGGCCTTTAAAGGTGGAATGCTGATATGGTAAAGGTAGAGAAAAGCCAGTATTCACTGCTGGCCATGACTTGATTTGCAAGCTAATTAGTGCTGTACTTTTTTGTAATTAAAAAAAAACTGGTGATATTTTTAAATCTTAATAAGGTTTTGACAATGCACTGTGCAAAAAACATTAAAACCTGCTAAGAATTCAGATTTCAGAGTGCTTTTCTTCTTTTGTTCCTGTCTTGTTTGGTTACATATCCTAAAATAAACAATATTTAATTCCATCAAATCATGTTTTGGAAAAATTAAGAATGCACAAACACCCAGAGAAAAAAAAAACCCAGTTTTTTGGTTGAATTCTTTTCAAGGGAAAAAAAAAAAAAAAACAAACAAAAAAACAGAGAAATATCCCAAACCCAAGTAGAGACTGAAGAACACAAATCTCTGCAGACTAAAAACTTAATATTACCCATAAGGCGAAATTCTCTAGCCCCCATGGTACATCCCGACCTGACAAAATATTAAATTGATAAACTAGATTTAGCGACTTATTAGGTGAGACAATCAGTGCCATCATAATTATGTATTCTTGCACATAATCTAACACCTAGAACCAACTGAATTACCCGTGTCCACTACTAAAAACTTAATCTGGTTAGTAATTGCGTATTCTTGCCAATAATCTGACACCTATAATCAGCTGAATTCTCCGTGCCCACTACTAAAAACATAACGAACTATTAGATAAGAGGACCAGTGCCACCATAATTATGTTTTCTTGCACATAATCTAACACATAGAACCAACTGAATTACCCGTGCCCCACTACTAAAAACTTAATCTTGTTAGTAAAGGTGGGGATTATTAAGAAGAAAATTGAATTGAGAGGTGGAAATCCAGTATAATAAGTACATACATATCATCCATGAATTTGGCGGCGACCATGACGCTGGTGATGAGGAGGCGGTGGACGTTAAAGGAGTTGATGGGCAGCGCCGGCTGGCGGTGAGTGAAGCGGTCGAGGTAAACGTAGGCGACGACGAAGCAGGAGGGGCTACAATTGGCGTACTTGAAGATCCTCTCCAGGTAGGTCTGGACGGAGATTCCGGGCCGGGTGAGGCCGTGGAAGACGGAGATCTTCTGTGGCTGAAGCTTGGCGGCGAGATCGTTCGAGTCGGCGACTCGCTGGAGGAGAGAGGAGAGGTAAGATATGAGTTTCGGCATTACAGCCTGGGCCTCCAGCTCCGCCATTGTTGCCTCAATGGAAAAGAAAAAAGAAGAATTTATGAATGTTGTTTCATATGCTCTGTTTGATTGATGTTGAAATTTATAAGGAGAGGAGATGGTGGACCATCATTTGGGGGTGCTTAGCTTTTTTGTATATAATAAAACATTTTATATTTATTATGAAAATTGGTATTTTACCTCGCAAGGGGTAACCGACTAGGTGAAGTATAACTGTCCGTATAGGCAGCTCAGTCGGTCATAGAGGTGAAATTTGAGAAGAATGACTAGAGATCGAGTCTCACCAGTGGAAACACTTTTTCTTTCTGTGTAGCTATATATTACACAAGAATAGAGTTATCTAGCACGCACCATAAGGACTAAATTTGTTAAGAAAGTCATAGTCGTGAATCAATTCTACAAGTTTTAAAAGTCCTGGATCAAAGTTGTTAGTAACACCATAGTCGTGGGACCAAAAGTGCAAAAAACTCTTATTATTGTCATTTACTATATGAGTAATTTTTATTGATACTCACAATGGTAGTAGAGTTGGCTATTTAATTTCACATTAATTAAGATCTTTATTTTTTTTTTTCTGTAAAAAAAAAAAAAAAAAGATTTCGATTTATTTTTGATAGTATGTGAAGTCGGGTAGGGCGGGTGGGGAGGTGGGGGTGAGAGTGTTTTCACTCTGCCAATGTAGCAACTGTAATATGGTCGTTATTTTTGGTGGGTAGATTTAGTTGGCAAAATTAGCCTTCATCAATTCGAATAATGACGGTGATGTCCTTTGGTTGATGGAATTGGTGGCTTTTTGACTTGTAAAGTTTTGGGATTTGAGTTGGATTCGGATTCTTTAATTTGAACTCAAGTCTTGCCAGAGGGAAATTTTTTTGATTAATCTTATCTTATAATATATAAAATAATTGTGTTGGCTACAAAGTAAAATTAATATAGAGAAAATTTCAATTTTGGTCACACGACTATAGAGACTTTGTTAATTTTAACACTTAACTTTCAAAAGTGTCAATTTAGTACCTTGAGTGTGTAATTTTTGTCAATTTTGATCACTCTGGCCAAATTGTCGGCCAAATTTGGCCAAAAAATTTAATCTAACATTTAGTCTAAAATTTTGGGACCATTTTGCCCCCAAGATTTTAGACTAACAGGGCGTTTGGTTGGAGGGGGGGAATTATGTGGGAAAGGAATTGTAATTCCATGGGAGTTGAATTACTGGGAATAAAGTGAGAATTTAAATTCCAGTGTTTGATTGACAGGAATAGAATTACTGGGAATTTCAATTCCAATGTTTGGTATACATGGGAATTGAAAGGGAATAAGTAGTATAAAGTCAAAAATATTCATTATTGTTGTTAGGCATTAATTTTAGGTTAAAAAAGGAAGGGGTAATTTTGACTCATCACTATCTTTTTTTCCCAGGAATTAAAATACCAGGGGGGGACATGGGATTTTAATTCCATGAAAATGGGGGAATTGCAATTCCATGGAATTGCAATTCCCTCCAACCAAACTACGGAATTTAATGGCCTTTGGAATTAGGTGGGAATGAAATTTAAAATCCCTCCAACCAAACGCCCTGTAAATGTTGGATTAAATTTTTTCGGTCAAATTTGGCTGGCAATTTGGCCGGAGTAACTAAAATTGACAAAAATTACATATTCAAAGTATTAAATTGACACTTTTGTTAACAACACACATGTTATGTCATCGTATCTTCGAAGTGCTTGTATATTGGTGCACCCTACAACTGTTAACAAACAGAATTACTGACTCTTTTTTAATATGTTTCGAAAATTATATAGAAAAGTATTAGAATATATATATGAAGTGAATAATAAGTCATATAGTTGGTGAGAAGTAAATTTGTAAGCTATGACTTGATATCAACTTTATTTACCTAAGTTAGGCCTCATGCATATTAATAGTAAATACAAGAAGAACCTTTCCAAGACACTATAGAATGGAAGGGAAAAAATTTCAAAGTAGAAGAGAAAAGTTGTATAGTTAGTGATAATTAATGTTATGATGCCAAACTTTAAAAGGGTAAGATGATGGGGGTAGGGGATGGGGGTGGGGGATGGCACATCATTAGCTAGATTTATCATGTGATTACATGTGGTTGATTATGTAGGGTGGGCCCCATTTATTTTTTGGATAAAATTAAAGTCATCCTTCATGTGTTCCTATTCTAGTTAGCTAGCTAGGGAGCTAAACATAATTAGGTGACATAAAATGGATTTGTTTTGCCCCAAAGCATCATTAATATAATCTTAAAATATTATGTTGTTGCCTTTTGTGCAATAATGTATGTATGTGCATGCAGGGATGAAATTTAGATTCAAATCACAAATTAGATATTTTGTCCACCAATCATGTATATATAGTAGTATGTGCTTTATAAGTCTCTAATTACACCTTCTATACTCAATAGAGTACTAGTTCATAATAATTAAATGAATAATATTTGCATGTTTATTTTTAAAATTTTTAATTCATTATTGACATGTTCTCATTAATTTTTTTTTTTAAAGTCCACACGGACAGCTCAGTTGGTCACAGAGATAAAGTTTAAAAAATGACCCAGGATCGAGTCTCACTAACACTCATAGGCAACTTCTACAAGGAGTTGAACTTAAAATCTTGAGATTATGCGATCAATTATTCTATTGGAATTGTTTCTTAATATATGGGCATACGAGTTTAAATAAAATTTATAAATTTCAAAATTGCATTAAACGACCTTTTAATTAAAGGAGTAAAATCTTGAAATGATAAACAAAAAATTTAAATGCACTTACAAAATTAAAAAATGTAATTAAATATTACAGATAAAATGGAATATGAAGTATAAATTAGATAGGGAGGATGGACATAACAACATGCTGGTGCAGGAAACGTATAGGAATGCCTTCATTAATTTTGTCTTCTGTCACCATGTCTAAGTTATTCATTTATTATATATATTATTAATTATTTAATTAATCATGCTTTGTAAGCTAGCTATTCTCTCATGCAATAAGCTAATTAAGTAGCACCAACTTGGAGCTAGCTTAGCTTGTGATTTGACTCATAAATTATTGGATCGGAGTATTATGTTATTAATTGCCAAATCTTTTTTGGGATCTTTTATCTCTCTCACACACACAAATAAATAAATAAATAAATAATATATATATATATATATATATATATATATATATATATATATATATATATATATATATATATATATATATATATATATAATTACTAAAAATATAATGCAATTATCATATCAAATCAGGAGGTGGTTGTTTGTGAGTGGTCGAATTGCATTTTTGTCACATTTTTTTTTTATAAGAGCATCATTATCGGTTGAGAAAAATGTGGGGAGAAAGAGTGATTATGAAAGAGAATGTGGAAGAGGGAGAAAAGAAAAATCAAAACTGAACTTTTTAAATTAAAAAATAAAAATAAAAAAAAGGTGTGTGTCAGGCGCGCAGTTTTGCACGCGCCCGACTGTGGCCATGCTGTGCGCTAAACGCGCATAGCGTTTCCTTGAAAAAAAAAAAAAAAAAAAACCTTTTCTAACATTATTTTGTATGTTGCAGACCAATTCTTTCTCAAATCTTTCACTCCTACATCAACTTTTCTCTTCAACTTGAGAGAATTCAATCAGAAATATCTTGACATATATTCTCATTGGTATGGATGCTCTAACTCAGATTTTCGACTTCGCTGGACTATATATATCCTAAACTTTATGAGCCTACCTCTCGAGCCCATGAGGTTAATTGGGCCAATTTAGTTTTGAAACTCAATACTAAACTGTACACTTCTACGTACAAGGAGTCCGGCCAATCCAAACTCAAACCTTATGGACATTGGTCTAATGGATGAAAAGTTTTACTTAATACTTGCTTCCAATGATAAGGTGTGGTAATTAAAAATTGGTTATTTGTGAGTGGTAATTGTAGAGTAATTAGCATTTACCCCAAAGGCTGAATCCCCAACCCTAAGGGCCCCCACTCCGACCCGAAAGAGCATGTGAGAGAATGTAAATCACGGTGACTCAATGGGTTGGGGTAAGAGTAATTAGCATTTTCTTTAAGGATAATAATGTTCAAAGGATTTGAAGACTTCTCTCTTCTCTCTCTGTCAACAATACTAATTAAATAATTTGCATGCATTTCATGTAGCGTTAAAGAGATTTTTTTTTTCTCTCTTCATATAATCCTTTCTCATTATCATTCCTTTTTCTTCTCTTTGATATGTTGCTTTCATTCATGTAATTTTCAAAACTAATTGTATTATGATGCGTTCTTCCGCAAGGGAAGGAATTGAATTGATCAATGGTTTCTAGAAGGTTATGCTAGCTGATTGTAACTTGTCTAAATAGAAAAGTTTGCGAGTTTCGTTAATAAGGTCAAATATAATGTATTTTAAACGTTCAAAATTTGTAAGATCAGACGTGATCTATTAAGTTAGCTAGTATATATCACTTAGTTGATGTGGAAGGCATTGCTATGTCCAGATACTTATAGTTTACTGTTGTCTGTTTTCTTATGTAAAAAATAAATAAATAAATAATGCAATAATATTGTCTCGAGTTAAAAGTAAAACGAATTAAGGTCACAAAGACATCCTAGTTAGGGTATCCCTCAGCTCCTTTTAATCCAAAAATAAATACGGAGTATAATTTAGTAAAGCAAATGTGTATTCACAAATATTTTATGATCTTTTATGTCACTTCTCCTCTGTCATTGGCTATATTTTAATTATTATTAACCACTTCATAATCGCTGGATTGATGCCCTTCAACAACAAATTAAATTAATAAAACCTATAAATAACAGCGAAGTAATCCACATTATACTTTTCTTACCAAGACATTAGCTTGTCAACGTACGTCTTTTCGAATGTTGTTACACATATACATTACCTTATTAAACGTAGCGTGTCGTGCTGTTAACGATATTAATCAATCAAATCGAACAATATAATAACCACTTAAATTATTTCATTAATCACAATTATCCAAATTAATTACTGTGTATTATATTCTTATTTAATCACACCTTAATAAATAAATATATATATATACACTATATACTTTGGGATCAAATCTACAGTACACAACCACGTTACGTTGCACATGGAATAAGATTTAATTTTCTCCTATTTGCTTCTCCACTATGCATCTACTTTGTTATTCTCTTTTTTTGGGGTATGGATTTGCATTGGTCTTTTTATGCACAAAAGTGTATAGACCAGTATTGAATCTTGAAACTAAATTGATTTGTTATACCTCCTCATAAACCTAGGGGTAAGTTCATGAGTCAAGATATAATTCGATGAAACTGAAAAAGTCTGATATATCAAATATATTAAAAGATAAATTTAATTAATCTAATAGTGTTAGTGTATATATATATATATATATATATATATATATATATATATATATATATATATATATATATATATATATATATATTTCTATTTATATATACCCTCTGTTTTTTGAGTGCTTTTGATCTTGGAGTTCGAACCTATGACCTCCCGTCACAGTTATGTCACTCGACCACAAGGTCTTTGGCTTGTATATATTCTCTCTATATAAATTATTAGATGGATAAATTAAAGAAGGTTAATCTCAAAGGAATTTTTGTATCTCAACATGAAGATATATATATAAAAAAAAATTAAAATATATATATCAATCAACACAAATATATTACTGTTTAGGGTGTGTTTGGTTGACAGGTTTATCTATCAGGAATGAGTATCAAAGTCACTGTTATTGTTTGGTTGACAGGTTTTGAGAACACCCCTATGGGTTTTGATTACCCCCTTAATTGAAAAACACATTCCCTAATACAATAACGTAGCGTTTGGTTGGAAGGAAGGAATTAGGGGAAAGGAATTGTAATTCAGTAGGAAAAGAATAAGATGGGAATAAAGTAGGAATTCAAATTACGTTGTTTGGTGGAGAGAAATAGAATTATTGGAGTTGAGAAGAAAATAAGTGGTTTAAAGACTAAAATACCCTTGTGTAATAATAATAGTAATAACAACCAAGGGTAGTAGTGTCATTTCATATGTTTCCCCCTTCTCAAATTCAACAAAAAGAGAATTGCAATTCCCTCCAACCAAACAACGTAACGTAATTGAGGCATCCATTGAATTGCAATTCAACTACAGCTAAATTACAATGAACCAAACGCCCTATAAGGGTTTCTTTCTATTATTCCTCATACATAATCAAACAATAATATTGATAATCATTCTCATTCCATCCTACTATCAAACATGCAAAATACTTTCACCAAAACCTATTATCGTTACCAAGTATTTGATACCCATTCTGATTCCGATTTTCATGTGCAAACCAAACACATCCTTAGACAATATCAAATACTATGAAGACAATGTTTGGATTGTAGACGTATTATAAATAATTATACTCGGTATTATTGAAAAAGATGGTAATCGATATCTTAAACTTTCCCCTAATATATTGGCCATGCAAATGGAAAAGGGTGGTTGGGAAAAAGTGGAAGGAAGCATAAATGCCAAGCTGTAGGCATGTTTTGCTTGGAGTACAACAAGGGCAAAGCATGTCGTGTAAGGGTGTTTTTTTTTTTTTTTTTTTGGGTCCATCTAATTTTCCAAGCTGTACAATGTGGTGTTGTGTAGTGTACCAAGAATTTTTTTTTTTAAAAAAAAATTGTGTGGTGAGATGATGACATTAGAATAGTTGTAGCCTCTTCTTGCAATTGCATGCCCATGTGTGGTCTCATGTGACTTCTTCCCTTTCCTTCCTACTATATATTTCCTCACCTCCATTATTATTCTCCATCTTTAATTTCATCTACCTATGTATGTGTCATGTATGTATAGTACACCTCTGCCCCAGACGTAATTCAACTGGTTGATCAATCTAAAATAAGTTGATAGTTTTGCTTTGCTAAGAATAAAAAAGAGAAGTATGATATTGTTGCATGTGGGCAAGGGTATAAAAGTATTTGGAAATTGAACATATGTACAAGTTCAGACACATCCTTAGATTTACCTTCTCATTTAATACTTCATAATAGGAGCCCGTCGGGGCTAGGTAATTAAGGCGGAGGACTGATTGAAAAGTTGTTCATGACTTCATGTGATTCAGATTTACATCCTCTAATGATTCTTATGACGGAGAACTGAAAGTTAAGATTACTCTACCGTAACTTGAGAAACTTATGTATAAAAGATATAAATAAACAAAAAAGGAGCGGTGGAGTTTTCAAAGTTGTGGTACAATCCCTTTTAGTACAACTTTATTTGAAGCCATATGGGGGCATATCTACGCACTCTCAACACAATATCTTCACCTACAAACGTCCAAAGAGGCAAAGACCCCATGAGAGAAAGAGAGACGCACGTTACCTGGATCTTGTCTTGTCTTGTTCATCGATAAATATTATTGGTCGTGATATTTAGGATAACTTTTCACTATTAAACGAGTAAAGTTTTCAATTGATATATATATATATATATATATATATATATATATATATATATATATATATATATATATATATATATATATATATATATTATTTAGTCTTATGCAACGGGTTGCATTGGTACATTTTACTAAAATTCAATAAACCAATACTCTTAAGTTTTAATGATTAATTTGCAAGAAATTGAGCGAAAATAATATCTTGCATGTTACAACGACAATCCAGGCAAACATTATTGTGTGGAGTCCACACACTTGTGTGGGCCATACTATCAAATAATGTACATTCAGTACATAAATAATATACTTTTAGTATATTATAAAAATATCCATTGTATTCAGAGAAAGTATATTATTTGAGTACTAAAAATACATTATTTTGTATAATGTACATTCAGTACACGAATAATGTACTTTTAATATATTAAAAATGTACTTTTTGTTATGATTCACACAATACTGTCATGATATGGAGCCGTCTTGGTACAACCTAATTAAGAATGAAGTCTTCCGGGTACAACATTTGAGTGGGCGTAGGACCAAAGATGACAAACGACCAATCAAACATGTTCGATCAATTGTAAGACAACGTCCCGTGCAAAACATGTTTTTTTTTTTTTTTTGTGTGTGTGGATTAGGTTTATTTTGATGATAATTGAATGCAGCTATCACCGACGGGTGGGTTACTCTTTCAATTCCTTTTCTCTCATAACCCTTTCTTTCATTAAAGTTTACAGTACAGTAGTTGCTACGTGGATGTACGTTTTTGGTGAAATTTGTGGTAAATCAGTTTAGGTTGTTTATAGGGGCTCTTAGGGTTAGGGTTCAGCCTTTTGGAAGAAAAAATAAAAAGGCCAATAGATAACTCAACGGGAACCAATATTTATTTACAATCAATATCACCATTAGCTTCCATTTTGGGACCCCTGGTACATTATGCTTCCAAGGGTAATGAAGCCCCTAATGCTTATCCATGAACTAAAAAGATGCAGAAACCATTGATATAAACTTAAATGAAAATTTTCTGACTGTAAAAGAATCTACATTTCTTAATAGTGCCCGCGATCTATCACGTTAGGATAAGCGAAAGAAGTTATCATAAGCTCCCGTGTAGTTCACTGAGAAGGAGGTCACCACTTTTATCGTCGTTGTTATCCAGGAATGAGTCTTCCTCCCATGTGTCGGGTTCGTTGTTAGTATTCGAGCCATTGGGTGTCGGGATTTGAGACACATAGTCCTCGGGATGAAGACACCCGGCTTGCTTCAACACCTCGATCAGTAGCTCCTTGCTTTCCGTATCGTCTTCTACCTCACAAAGCTTGAAAAAAGACGATATAGTTGCGGGCCATGGTCTCCAGTTTTTAGATCCCTCGGCTGAACCGGCCTCCTTCAAGCAGGATAAAGCCTCGGAGATTCTCCGCTCTTTGATATGCCCATCGGCGAGAATCTCCCATGTCTTCGGGTTCGGCTTTACCCCGGCGTCTATTATTTGGGCTAAGAACCCTTCGGCCCTCTCGAATTGCCCCTTCCTCACATAGCAAACCAGCAGAAGATTCGCCACTCGGGGATCATATCTCGACTTTGCTGACAACCATTCGTCGAATATGTTCTCCGCATCTTCAACATCGTCCAATCTCAGCAAAGACGCGATTATTGAATGGTAGCTCGAGTTTGGAATGAAGGGGAAATTCGACTTGTAGACATTCCATATCCGGAATACCTCCTCCTTGTTACCAACACCGGCATAAAGACTAAAGAGATGGTGATAAGGGGTACGATCCCGACCCGTGATTATACACTTCATCTTTTTCAAGCACTCTTCGGCTTTTCCCAACTCGCCCGTCTTGATATACACCGAAGCCATTATGCCATACGTACTCCAGTTCGGGTTGATCCTCGGGTCCAGCTTCATCTGCTCAAACGTTCGTTCCATCATCTCTATCGACCCTCGGTACCCATGGGACGACAACAAGATATGATAAGTAAATATGTTGTACCAAATCTTTTTCTCGTCCATTTCGGATATCATACTATCCAACTTGTCGTAATCCTTAACTTTCATGTAAAGGTTCAACATCAAATTATAAGGAAGCGTGTTCCTAGTATAGCCCCTGTTTCTCATTTCATCGAATAAAGATTCGGCCTTCTCCCTCATTCCAACACGAACATACGCATTCAAGAGCGACCCGTATATTCGTCTGTCCTTTAGCGAATTTGGCAGGGTGAGGAAGTACTTCTCGGCATTCGAGATTCCATGCACTTTGGAGATCAAATCTAGTTGAATAGCAGTGTCACTGGTGGTTATTTTATACCTCTCTGCTCTATCATTCATCCACTCACACACCTTCAAGTTAAACAAAGAAGTTCATTCTTGATCTATGAACAATATGATCATTGAAGTACCATATACACTATAACACTAATCTAAGAACAATATGATCATTGAAGTACCATATACACTATAACACTAATCATATTACAATATTACTCCAAACAAATAGAAAGTATTGAGGGGCAACCCAGCCAAGTTGGTCAGACTGTTGGCTCGATAAGACAGTAACGAAAAGGTTACAAGTTTGAGTCCAACCAAGTGGGAGCGGCCTATTGGCATAGGCCTTCTTTTTTTTTTTTTGTCAAACCACGAGGTGTCCTGAGCATACCATAACTGTAGGAGGTGTCCTGAGCAGACCCTAACAGTAGGAGGCACCTTTAAGCCCTTTAAGCCTGTACCATACTAAGACTAATCCCCGTTCACACCAGACCCTAACAGTAGGAGGCACATTTAAGCCCTTTAAGCCCGTACCATACTCAGACTAATCCCCGTTCACACCAGGCCGGCCCAATTAAAGGTAAAGTGCTGGGAGATTAGTTTTTCCATACGAGAGGGAGTTCGAACTCCCGACCTCTCTTAAGGGACAAGAATGCACGGCCACTCAGGCCAACCAGGTGGGAGCGGCCTATTAGCATATACCTTCTTGATTTGAACTAGTCAACTATGAGAACTAGCTATTGTCACAATGCAGAATTTACCCAAAGCACACCCGTAAGACAGTAACCGCAAAATTACAAGTTCGACTCATCAGTGGGGCGGCCTATTGGCCTCCTTGATTTAAGCCGGTCAGCTATGAAAGCTGAAACCAGCTAGGGTCCCATTTCCCTCAAAGATTTGATGCATTCTTTCTATGCATATAGAATTCGCTATAAAAGAATCATGGAAAATATGAATACTGGGTCGATGAGAAGCACAGAAATGTATCCAAAAAAAGATAAATTTTGGGCGGGATTTTCACCTCGAGAGCAAGGTGGTGTCGCCCGAACTTGCGGAGCTTCCTAACGACGAACAAAAGCTCCAGTCTTGAAATCCTCTTGCCTTCATCCTCACACTGGTTTAGCACAGTAGAAGCGCCCTTCTGCGGGTATTCAATCATGGATATTCTCTTGTAAATGATGCCCCAATTGGGCATTGGCCGCTTCTCGTAGTCGACAGTGCCATAGCTGTGGACTTGCGAAATGGAAGCGCATGTGATGGCTAGGCCCTTGCGGCGGCTCTTCAGTGGATTTAGGAGAGTTAAAGTTGAGAACCCAGAAGGGAATGGGAGCAAATTGGGGATGGATGATGAGAACGAAAGACGGCGGTGAAGTGGCGGTGTGGTGGTGGTGACGGGGTGGAGAAACATGTTCTTGAGGCTTAACTCTGTCAGCTCAGAAGCGCAGTTTTAGGGTTTCCCGGATTTCGTTCTCATATTAGGATAAGACCACAAAGACAAGTTGTTTTCTCCGCCAAAATCAAGTCTATAAATCTATAATATTCGGTATTACTTGTAAGATTAAAGAAGAAAATTACTTTCATCACTGACTTAGCTTACTGGTTTAGTAGACAGTAACTTCGACAGTCGCAGTCTAAGAGTGTGAGAATTATGTTTAAAGTGGACAAATTCTTTAAAAAGTAACACATTCCTTGTAAAGTTTACCTTTTTCCTAGGATGATGGAAAGATAAATTACGATGACTCATAAACTTCTTAAATAGGTGAATCCTTCGGACCTTCCATATTAGACGGTTGATAATTTTGTGAACTATTATACAAAGAGTCAAGGACATAATTTATCGATTATATACCCTTGATAGTGGTGATATGCTTCTCTCGTCATCTAAAAAAAATCTTTAATTAAGTATCAATAAATTGATTGACTTAAGTTCAATGGTTCATGAAATTCTCGAAAGTCTTGTTTCAGTCTCAGAATGAGGGTTCTGCAGAATAGGAGTTAGATTTTCACTAAAAACATGAGGGGTGATTGGAAGATCCAAAGCTTAAAGGGTGCTCTCCAATTGTTGTTTTAATAAGGAATTGTTTGACCCAATTCTTTATAGGAGTTTAATGTGTTTCTTTTCATTTCTCTTGTATAAACCATAGATACATACAACCTTAGAAACTAATTGATGGTCAAAATACTGCCAAACACATGGCTTTATTCCCCAAAGCAAATAAGCAAAAGTGGAAACATAATATAGTATTCCATACTTTGATTTACAAGAAAATCTGTAGCCACTATACGAACGTGACTTGGTACTAAACAAGGGGAGTAAACTCATTATCATTATTGTTCTCACAAGCATCCACCCAACCACACCATAAGGCTGCATGGGCTAAGATGATGGGGATAGTAGCAGCCAGAGTGATGAGCAGATGAAGCCCAGAATGAGTGGCAATGAGGGCAATCACTGTGCCAAAACCCAGGAGAGAAAGAACCAGACGCCTATCAAGAACCCGATGAACCAGAACAAGAGATGCAGGCACTGCACGCATTAGCAGTGTGTATATGATTGCAGCTTCTTTGGTCGCAACCATGATGATCAAGGAGACCTTGCGTTCCGGGATGAGGGCGATGAAGAGGACGAGCCATATGAATTCGAAGTAGTAGAGGGATAATTTCCCCAGGTTTGTGATGATCCTGGATGCAGCTGATTCAGGGGTGGAGGGGATGCTGAAAGGGCAGGTAATCTGGAAGGTGAGGGGATGGTGTTTTTTCGGGTTTTCGTCGGGTTGAGGAGATGGTGAGGGGGAAAGGTTTGGTCTTTGTGTGGCACCATGGTTGTCCATCTTGAAGGAGATGTGTAATCTGGGGTGTTTGAGACTTTGAGGAACTGGGATCATATATACTTGTATATAGTGCAGTGTTCTAAGGTCAAACCTGTGTGCTTTCTAGGAAACTTTGATCAGTTGACTTGTGAGTTATGAGTACTTCACTGAATTTATGTAAAATGCAATATGTCGAAAAACCATTGGGTGAAAGATTCCTTTGAATAATCAACACGGCATTGTTAGATTTATGGGATGGGCTTGTGTTGGAAATGGTCAGTCTTTGTCTATTGTCAAGAATGGTGGTCACTATTGAGGACAACTTAATCGAGTTGGTTGGACAGTTAGCTTAGTAATTACAAGATTTCAAATTTGTCATTTATGAAAGTTGCATATTGATTTGATTAACTATGGACAACTTAAAATGATTTACCTCCTTGTGAGAGGTGCCTATTAAACTTTTTGGTTTAAAAGTATAAGCAATCTAGGCTAGTTTACCTCATTGTGGGAATTGCTTATTAACCTTTTTTATTTAAGTCAGTTAACTATGGACAACCTAAAGATCGGGAGTTCGAACCCCCTCTTGTATGGAAAAATTAATATGGCCAGCACTTTGCTCCTTAATTGGGCCGGCCCGATGAGAGATTAGTCTAAGTATGGTACAGGCTTAAAGTTGCCTCCTACAGTTAGGACTTGCTCAGGACACCTCGTGATCTAACCCAAAAATTTAAAAAAAAAAAAAATTAAAAAAAATTAAAAAAAAAAAAAAAAAAAAAAAAAAAAAACTATGAACAACCTAAATTGGTTTACTTCATTGTGGTCATTTGTCAGTTAGAGTCACAACAAGACGATATTAACCCAAAATGTACATTTGGATAACAACTGCAAACTTTCTCGTAAATCAAAGAATGTTCACTTTCACATGCCAGTTGACTTCTGAGTCTATATATAGTAATTTTCAGAATATTGGGGGATCAATATACATCCATTTTACTGCCATCAGTAATCATGGGAAAGCTATAATCCAAATTTAAATTAGCTACAAGTTACCATGAACCTATGCAGCTTGATGAAGAGCAAATATAACAAGAAGCCACTTGCCAGGTAAGGTAAAAAGAAGAAAAATAAGAAACAGAGACTTAAAGGAGCCTCTTTCAAGTTTCAATATTTCCTGCAAAATATGTTCCAAAATGTGTATGGGAAAGGGATACACGAATTTTCTGATAAATCTGTCAAGAATATCCCAAGAAATTGACGCTTTTACCAGAAAACAGATAGATATATGTTATCGAGTTTTCAAAACGTACTACTCTTGGAGCTTTGAACAGGAGTCTGGTTGATGTTTAAGTGGACGTAAATACGTAATGCCCAGAGTTCCACGACGGACTAACCTTTCCAGTGTGTTTCCAGCTTTTAGAATAGCAAATATCACGAAGCATGGTAGATTGACACATATAAGGGATCGGCTGTCACAAATGCAAGAATGTTTTAAAAAATGTCATATTTTTCTAGTTAACTCTACGTTTTCTTGTTCTAAAGGATGGTAGAAATGGGGAGGGGGGAGGGGGGAGGGCGCTAAGGAAATTGTTGAGAATATACCGGGCAGTTGAATTTCGACAAAAGCAATTGGGATCTCTCAAGATATGGCTGTGCACTGCGGCCAACTTCTATGCATAATGTCTGCACTTCTTATACTTCCATGAACAAACACTTTCGGTTCCTTCACCTGTGAAAACATAGACACGTAAAATCCTTGTCTGAAACAAAAGAGGAAATTGAATCCTCCACGTTTTACAAATCACAACTACGATTTGGAAATAAGAAAATTGTAACCAGTGATATAGGAGGAAATCCTTTTTGCAGGCGAACTCCCGAAAATCCATTCACAGTGAATAGGCATTTGAAGCCCTCGATGACAGAGTGTTCACTGTAATACGACACACATTATGTTCTGTGTCTACTCACTAAACTCGAAAAGCTGCAAAATATGCAGGCGGCTTTACAAAGTTATGAATATAGCATGGAACTTACTTTAAAAGAAAAGTGAAATTTCTGTTCTGAAACTCTTCCAGATGAATACCTTCTTCTTTCGAGTACCTGAACCACAGTCAAATCTTCATGTAACAGAGCACATCATGAATTGCAGTACAAAATAGTGAGCGGGACCAAAGATTTACTTAGGATCATGGTTGAAAAATCGCTAGGCGTTTCTTGGGTGCTCGGGGGGGTGCCTAGGTGGTGATTAATCAACGCCTGGGAGCCCGTGTATTTTTTTTAAAATTTTTTTAATTTTTTAAAAATTTGTTTAGATTTTTTAAAACTTGATAAATATAAACTATTTAATACTTTAGTAGTTAATACTAAAATATTAAATATTAAACTAAAAAACATCTAAAGTTTGAACAAGTTAGGGTTATTTCGCTCAAAATGATGTCGTTTTGAGTGAAATAACCCATTTAAAAAAGGGAACAATAGCTAATCAGCCGACCAGGCGGCCTAGTCGTTGCTTAGGCGGCCTAGGCGGTGCTTAGGAGGCCTAGGCGGTGCTTAGGCAGCCTAGTCGGCCAGTCGCGTAGACCACAGATTATGGTGATACGCTAGGCGGCCGACCAGCGCCTAGGCGCCAATTAATCGATGCCTTGGCGGGATTTTTGCAACACTGCTTAGGATAAGTAGTAAGTTTACCTCCAAGGATAGCCGTTTTCACAAAATCGGGAAATTCCGTTTATTGCTGAGAAGGTGTCAATATGAACCTGGAGTTCATCTACATAGTTTGACATGTTGCCTGAAAAGCATCAGATATCTAGGACGTCAATCATGTAAACCTTGTCAATGAAACGGCTACAGAGTTCGATTATAGAAGAATGCTCGAGAAAGAGAGCACGTTCACTCACCCCTACTGTGCAAGGCTTTTAGAGCATAGCCGCTAGGATAGTTCTCATATGATGCCATGAAAAAAATCAGCGTGCATCCTAGACTAAAAAATGAAAAACTTTAAAGTGTGAAAAAAAACCAGTACACTTCACAACGTAATGAAGTAACCTCGGTACCTCCCCAAGATCAATCCCAGCATACCAATGTAGAGAAGATTCCAGAAACTCTTTCTCCTGTTATTATACCTATACACGAAATTGAAATTACAATTAGAATCAGACCCAGCAACTACAGGATAGACAATACAGAAGGCTCCCCGTTATTGTGAATATGCATCATTTAATATGAATAGAAAGAAACGCTTTGAAGGGGTTTCGAATCATTGACAATTTCCATAGTGAAAATGAAGCCACCACATACAATCTGCTTGCTGCAATTGCTGCTGACAAGTTGAAGATCGGGATGGAACTGATGATGAAACGGAGCTCCTGCAGCATCGGCAACAATTTAAATAAAACATTTTTCCGATCATTAGCATCAAGTAAATAACAGTATTACAAAAGTCATCACACAATACCTTGTGTGGAAGTTTCGAGTACAGTAAAATAAATGAGAGAACTGGAAGAACGTAGAAGGAAATCCTTCTGTCCAGTAAAACTCCAAGCTGCAACGAAAAACCACATCAAATGCAATAAAGAGAGCATGCAAAATCATGGAGTTCGACATTTAGGATAGGCAATTAAGAAGTAAGCCCAGTTTGAACTCAAGGTAAAGTACCGCACTTATTTAAGAAATAAACTCACCACAAAGAGGGGATAAGAAGCAAGTAATGAGCGGGGCAATGCTGAAGTGAAATACCAATGAAAAGGATGTGTCTGAAAAGTAATAAGGAAGAAGAATAGATAATGGAAACTTCAAGAACTTGTGCTTCTAGTTACGGGCCGGGGCAAAAGCAAAAGAAACTACACTATATATATGCCAATGCACAGGCATATATATATCTACAAGTACATAGTTTAAAGAAATGCATGCACAAATTAATATGTGGTGCCTCCAGGATACACCCCATTCAGAACTCCGATTCAACACAGAATTGAACCAGAAAACCTCAAATTCAGGCCATAACAACCTCCTCCACATGACAGAGTCAACCACGATTGTAAGACCTGCATGGTATAGAATTGCATTACTTTAGATAAATACAGCAACAACAAAATCTAGCAGGGAGTCTCGGGACAAAATGCCAAGCCCAGAATGCATTTCACAAACCTATGCAGCATAAAGCAGTTCCAAAGCAGGATATCACTGCCTTCCACAGAGAAATTGATTTTGTCTGCAGTTATAAGAAATCTCCATAAAAGGATATATAGCACAATGAAAACAATTTATCAGTCATGATTTCATGTTTTAGAATTCTGTTCTTCAATATCCTTTCAATTAAGAAGAAGCATCACTTCAATTGAGATTTCTATCACATTTAAACTCTCTTTCTCCAAAGAAACCGCCATTGCATACCAAATTCTACTCTTCATACAAAAGTTGCTTTCCTATATCTGTTTCATTAAGTTAGCAATTTCGAATCTCAATCCTCTAACATTTAACATTTTATCCTTGTTATTACATTCTAATGTCAATGTGTCACACACTATGGGACACGTACATAATTTACTTGATTAGCAGACGGCCTGCTAGCTAATTCAACCCGGAAAAAAAAAAAAAAAAAATTAGTGAAAAGTATGAAGGAATATAACTTCATGGATTGGCTACACAGAAGTTCATACCAGCAACAGTTCCAAGCCCAATGGGGCAAGAAGCAATAAAATATCACATCTGAAGATGATTGTAGCAAAAATCTGAAAATTAGAAAATTAAAGCACTTTAAGTAATTAGTGCAAAGTGAATATAATGACTATTATCATAAGCTAAGTAAAAGAAAGATTATATGATGGGACTTTACAAATTTCATAACATATATATACTAGAAATGTAATTCGGAATTACAGAAGTAAATACAAATATAGGAATGATACTGCAAGTATGCAAATGAATGATGCAGAAGTCAAAGAATAAGTTCCTGGTTAAGTGGTAACAAACATACCAAACATCTTAATGCTGCATAGAAACTCCCCCTGAGCCAAAATCCATATGCCAAATTAACTTCAAGAAACAAAAATGTGAGTTAAAGAAAATTATTTTCTTTCTCAACTGAGGGGATCTATGATTCATTACTTCATGGTGAAAGAAAATTATTTTCATTGTCAATTTTCTTTCCCATATTCCATAAGGAAAAATAAAATTATTATGCACATGGTGCTTTGGTCTATGATTTACTTCAACATACCAGATATGAGGATAATACGAATATTATCAAATAATAATAAGTTATCAACTTATTTGGGACAGTGGACATGTGTAAAGAGTGGATGGATATATAATCAAGAAGTGAAATTTTGAAAAGAAAATTTGTATATAGAGATAAAAGAAAGTCTCACCTAAACAAAATGCCAACACGTTAGGAAGAGGACGAGAGCAATAAAACAGTACATGAAACTGAGAAGCTGTCAGGATCACAAAAAATGCTTCAACTTGATATCCAAATTTCTTTCTGATCTGCTTGGCCAAAGTTGAATTCAGATTACTATTTGTTAGATAATGGTTTCAAAGCTTGAATTAAAGCTTCTTTTTTTTTTTTTTTAATGAAAAGAAGATTCATGTGTTTGAGAAATGCACAAAGAAGAGTAAATGCAGATAATTGCTTCCATTGTTTCTTTTTACATACGCAGAAATTGCATACCTGTACCCGAAAAAACCGCAATGTAAACAAAGTGATACAGCCTAAGACCAATCGAACTGCAAAAAAAAACAAATTGGAAATCCATTTGACTATTAAGAAAATATACCACATAAGCGAATAGTAAAATTATTAATTAGTAATGCATATTAGAGACTTGGTGATAGACTGATATAGAACTAACAGTGGGCATCAGATAATATGAATTAATGCAAGTCCTCTATCAATTGAGGTAAAGAAATATACTGTATTCGTTTAGAAACAGAAAACAGAAAAGAGATATCGTAAGAAGAGAGAGAATGGGGGATTGGATACCAAAAAACCATCTTTTAAAAATTTATCAAAAAATTGAGAGTAATTGCATGTTAAAGACGCCACTCTGGTAGATTAAAGCATTTAAATGAGTAATCATATGCAAGAATGCTCACATGCCTGATGAACTCACCCACATAAAGACTGTAAAGCTTTGGCAAGTGTACCAAATTCATTGCTAGGACAATGGGAGACGCCAAAATTGATACAAAGAAGGCACCTGACCAAATTATTTACAAATAAATAAATAGAATAATTAAATAACAAGTTGCTTGGAAGAACATGGGAAATGTTGAAAAGAAGTAAAGAACAAAACATATTATAACAGATGAGAACTTACCAACAAATGTGCGAGGAACAACTCCGGGGAAGTCAAAATGATCATACTGGAATAACACAGCAAAGGTTACAGCTTTAGATACAACATCATTAACTAAGATTACCCGAACAAAGAAACCAATTAAATACAAAGATAAAAGTAAAAAAACGTACCTGTTCTAAGTGATGTTTGTGATATAAAATATCATGCATGGCCTAATAAAAAGAAAAAAGTGAAACAACATCAATGCAATCAAAATAAAGCCAGAAGAAAAAGATTGAACAATTCTGGTCCAATGCATAAATTGTTGATAACAAGGCAACTGAACTAGCTCAAGAATCCTATGAAATAGTCTCAAATGCAAATTTCCCCCCTCGTAACTGTTTCCTCAAGCTCATTGCACTTCGGACTCTCCTACGAAACTGTTCTCCCAACCTCGAATTTTCCTCCCAGCATATGAACTAGCTCATTGACTAAGAAAAAACGAAACATGATGTACCTGAACATTGAAGCTTTCTTCAACCTTAGTGTAGGGTACAGCGAAGACATAAAAGGAGGCGATCGAAGCCAACAGCAGATCATAGCCTATCAAAGATCGTCTCAGAATTTTCAATAATTGTCTTTGGTTCAGCCAAATTCCATAATAAAAGTTAGATTGGAGCTGAGAGTATGATGCATTACCGTAAAGTTTGAAGAAATTTTCAGACTTTCCGGCCATTGTCGAGGGAAGCAACCGGAGGGAGATTTAACTGATTTATGTGTTACTGTCTTCCGCGATTTGGGTAGTCGGAAATCTAAACGACGACGTATAGAAGCAACCACGGTGTAATTTGACTAATTTCACTTCACTTCTGCCCCTTCCAAATTTGTCAAATAAACATCTTCTAGAGGATTAAAATATGTATAAATCTTAATTAAGATGATTCGATAAAATTGAAACTCAAAAATCAAAGTGGTTCATGGACCATCTCCCCTAAATCAACATATTATTCATAGTTGATCCGTTTAAATTGAGAAGACTAATAAATAATTTATTTAGAGAATTAAATTTAAAATTTTGTGATTATTATGTGTTTAACAAATATGAGTACGATAGCTTTTAAAGTAATTCAGCTAAAAGGTTGGATGAGAGAATGTGCAGGTGCAGAAGAACAATAAGTTAATGTAGGTGAATTGCATTCCTCAACGCATTTCATATATGCCATAGCCAAACAATTATGATCGAAGGGTTTGCAGTTGGCACCATGGAAGCAAATATTGAAGCATTCATCTTTCGATATGGCATCGATACAATTCTCGGAACACACCCCGTCCAACCCCCTCATTTTGGATTTCTAAACACAGCCTAAATTGAAAGTGTTATACTTTTTGATTTGTGTGTTTTCCCAAGATGATGACGCAAAGTATAAAAAATAGTTATAATTGATTATCTTTTGTGGAGATATGTAAGCTATAAACTACTTCCATTGCTTATTTTCCTTCCTAGCCCCAATTCAATTGGTATATATGTTGTTATTTTTATGCACTATTTTCTGTACGTACTTGTGTTCAAGTCTAACGGTTTTAACATTCAGAATTACATCAGAAGCCAAAAGTGCAGTTCAATACTCTACCACAAAACAGCAATCGTTTAGGCAAAACAAAACAAGACTTTTGACATATATTAGAGTTTTTTGCACTTTTGGTCCCACGACTATAGTGGCACTATCAGAATTGATCCATGACTTTCAGACCTTGCAATTTTAGTCCACGACTATTGTTTTTTTGGCAAAAATGGTCCTTCCGGCCATTTTTCTGTCAAAATTCCACCGGAGTAAAATTTCTTCATTTTTAAGAGGGCTAAATTTGGCATTTCCCTTAACAATTCTTCCTAGATAAAAAACAATTCTTTATTTGCAAAATATGGCAGCCAACAATCACTAATACAAGCCTCTTAAACATGTCAACTTTAGCCTTCTTAAAAATAAAGAAATTTTACTTCGGTGAAATTTTGACGGAAAAGTGGTCGGAATGACCATTTTTGCCAAAAAAAACAATAGTCGTGGACTAAAATTGCAAGGTCTGAAAGTCGTGGATCAATTCTAATAGTGCCACTATAGTCGTGGGACCAAAAGTGCAAAAAACTCATATATATTATGACAAAGCATAAAATAGACTAGATTTATCCATGAATTACGGAAAATGTACCGGGGTCTGCAACAATTGGTATAACATGAATTAGAATCTAACTTGCATTATAAATCATGATCCAAAAATTATGTGTTGTACATGCAATTAACAATTTGTGTCTTAAATAAATTAAAAGCACATAACACATTAATTACATACATATAATATGTTAACTCCGAACACATAATATTGTGTCTGCAGTTAACATATTACGTATCTGCAGTTAGCATGTTATGTGCTTCCAATTTATTTTCAGACACAAATTATTAACGACAAGTAATTTTAATCTAAAGATTATTTTAGATCAAGTCCACTATGCAAGATAGACCAAGATCCATGGTATAATTTAATTGCGATCTTGAAACTACATTGGTGCGGTCTCCGGTGTGACCAAAATCTTTCCTTCACATCCAACATTGACAAGATAAAAGACTTGAAAGTGTGAAACATGTCATTAACAAGCACGATTGAGTCCAAGAAAAGTAGAAAACAAGGGGAGAATTAACCTTTGTAGAAAAAAAAAGTCCAAAACCAAAACCAATAAATGCCACAGATCTTGCACGTGGAAATCATTTCTTTTTGAGATTCCACTCTGAAACGTTAGAAGTACAAAACTATCAACTAAGGAGGTTGTACGAGGGCAAATCTTCCAGCCGTGTCACATCATCTTGTAGAAGTTCACTTTCCAGTTGCCGCCGTGTAGCCTTCATAACAGTCTGTGGAAGAGAAAAATAAAGTAATGAAATCCTAAAACAATTAAAGCCAAGAATATTTATTTTTTAAAAAAACACCAAATTGCTTTGTCTATGATAGTCACCATCCATTAATGTTGCTGTTTGAATGCAAAACATGTGCTTTCCAACCATGATAGTCAAACTATGATGATTAACAAGAGTTATACAGTAACTCTCACTACAAATTAAAGTACTTACATTGAAGTCCATGTATGATGCACGCATGACAAGCCATTGGTGATCCATCAGCTTGAATGCAATACAGTATAGAAGGTCAAATGCCGATTCATTTTCTGTCCAAAGGGAAAAATAATTTACTCAGCAAAGAAAAAAAAAGCACAAAACCTATACAGCAAGAAATAAGCTAAACATTCATCAGAAAACTAAAATGTTTTACATTGAGTGGAGAAAGGGATTAAATGGAGAATTTATGAAGAAAAGTTGCAGAGATTAATTACAAAAGAAGAAGAAGCTGGTGATAGGGACTTAAAACCATGACCTATTTATTTACCTGCCAGAAACTTCAAGAAGGCTGCTCCTACCAGGTTGCGTGGTTTTACTGCAGAGTTTAAGCAAAATTACCTAACTGAAGAATTTATTATAAATTTCAGAGCCATAGACTACATACAGTTGATCAATGCATTTAATCATATACACACAAAACTCTCTCGAGATGTCTAAGAGTTCACATGAGGAAACAACAACAGAGAGAGAGAGAGAGAGAGACATGCCTGCTTCTAAATCAAGCATCTGGGTAAGCATGAATGTGATGTTAACACCAGCTACAGCAAATGGGTATTCCCACATGGCCCTGTCACCTTCCTGCTTTCGAAGAAGATCCTGGAAGGATTTCTGCAAATAACATCAGAAGCAAGTGAAAATATTAAAAACCCTACTGCGTGTGCACCATAAATAATAACATTGCACTGTGTATACAATTTCTACACATTGGCTTTGTGAATAAGTTGGTAAGAAAGAGTGTGTGATAAGTATAATGTTGCATTGCCTGCCAAACAAATCAAGTACAAAACATATCATCAGTAGGTATCCCTTACAAAGCTGAGCCTGACAGTTGGTCTATTAAAATACTACAAGTGTCGGGACACATTAATAGTGCTATATGCCCTTAAGTTTTGGTGAATGTCTTGTTATATTTCCTGCTCCTTGAATAAAAGATAGTCACCTAGATTAAACATATTTAGCTCTTTCTCAAAATGGTCCAACATGTCCAATAAGGCGTGGAATAATTCATAGATGTTCTGAAGAGAATATGGACACATAGATTTCCTGTGCATACTAACAATGTCAAACTCTTGAACCATCTGTTTTAACAAATACATTAAGGAAGATAAACTCCGCAATGTAAAAGATTTCCTGATCCAATGATCAAAAGGAGATACTTGATTTCTGCTCTTTGCTCTTTTTTTTCCCCTTTTTTTCTTGGGGTGTTGGGGGGAGTTCTAAGAAAAGCAAAGAAGTCAAGGGAAAATGCAATGAAGTAATGAACCAGAGAAAAAGCAATAACAAAAGTGTATCATGATTTCCAAGGCTTAGAATTGAAATATAAATTGCATTTATCTCTGGAATTAGGAAAAAGGGTTTCCAATTCCATCCAATTGAAAGACATTAACACATGCCAAAGACAACAGAAACTACCAACTCCTAATAGACACAATGTACAATCTATCAAGCACTAAAAATAACGAGCGAAATTTGGATGCAAAAAACGTAGAAGAAACTGAAGGAAATAGATGCACCCATAAGGTCATAACTCAGTCAAGTATGCTGTGACAGTGGAACTATGTAAAGAAAAAAAAAATTAGTTTCAAGTAATCAAACTCATTCAGATGTGATAGACTAGAGTACAAGAACAGAGGATGGAGATGGAAACTTACAGGGAAGTTCCTAGCAAAATATAACAAATTTTCCAGTGATATAAATCCACCACCCCTACATGAAACAATCAACAAAAGAATAATAAAATAACAGAAGTGAGACTGGTAAGACAAAAAGTTCATAGATTCAAGCTAAAATCCAACTCGCCAAAAAAAAAAAAAAAAAAAAACAAAACAGAAGGTAAGGGGTAGGGGGAGTATTGCTGTACCTGAAGTCAGTAGATGGATCTTTACCTTGCCAACCCATGTCCTTCCACTGCTCAGATATTAGGCCGCGGAGTTCCTCCTCAGGAAAGGCGGCATTCCACAAAGCTTTTAAAGCTTCCTGTCGGAACCAGGAAAAAATTGCAATGATGATGGTAAGGATCTGCCATAAACTTTTATAGGGTCTTGTTAAACATAGTACCTGATGTTCAGGAAGTGAACTATCATAAGTAATGTCTATACGGCTCTGTAGTCTTTGCAAGCATTCCTCCTGAAACCACCAGAAGTTGAAAGAATCAAAACAACTTATAGCCATAACCTTTCCAGGTAAAAAATTAATTAGAATGTGAACAATTGAGAATGGACAAAGCATTCAGGTGCATACAATGTCATTTAACTTAATTCCCAGGACTCAATTATTATACCTGTGAAGGTGTCAAATCAAATGATAGACGAGCATCACTTTCTCTTCTTTGAACACAAACACATGAAAGCCCTCTGCCAAGCCATGCAGCTGACCCTGCCACAACCTCTGCGGTAACAAAAGAAAACCACAGGCTAAATAAAATAGGAACCCTATACTAATACAGACTTGTTTTATTACAGCACATCGGATGCCACAGTAAAGGAGAGTTTAGTTGTTAGAATTAAAAGACAAAGTACAAGGAAATGCAAGTTTTGCAGGAAAAGGCAAAGTACTGGTACTGAGGTTGTAGATCAAAAACTGCACCTATGTAACAGAATTTCACTATGTGTTACCAGAAAGAATATCATAAATAGGCAAATATACACAGAAAATCACAATCTCCCTCCAAATTATCTCTGTCAGAAGAAAAACCTCATGAAAGCACCACAGAAAATACTGCAACGAAATCCAAAATGAGGAAACAAAGGATATAAAATCAGCAATCTCACCAAGTATGCGAATGCAGTTAGGCATAAATCAACAGAAACCAGCCTAATTTTCAGTTCATATATCGGAAACTCTAGAATTCACTCCAAACACCAAATAGAGAGACAGCAATAGTTACTAGTATCCAACACACATTTAGGAACAGATATACACAGCACCGAGTTAATAGATAAGATCGCTTGTTCTGCTTTCTTCATAATGTTAGTGTAAGTTGTGTTACCAGAAGAAGAATGGCAAGTGTTGCTCCTGTCGAGGCTCTGCGATATCCTCCTCACCGCCACAAACGATCCTCCACCGCCTCTTTCCTCCATTCTCCCCACACCACACTGTCGTCTTCCGCCGTCACACTCGTCTCTCTAAGTCTCCCGCGATCGAAGCAATGCGAACAGTCCAGATTGCAGCGGATCGAATTGCAGACGCGAATTCATCAGAGGTGAACTCGACGAGAAATCCGCGGCTCCTTCCTTTCCAGTTCAATTCTCCCGAAATAGCTCCCCTCTGTATCGCGTTAGAGACGCGCGAGTTCGCCCTCGTGATTCCTATTTTCCGGCGAAATTTTTGATTTGTACAGTTCTGCGCTGGGGAAATCTCTGAGTAGATTTGGTAGGCGGAGAAGATATGGGAGGAGCTGCGCTGTTCTGCACTTCTGCTCTACTGTTTCCCTGTTAGTTGAGCTATGCGTCCGTTATTGGAAGGAGAGAATAATAGTATTGGAGTATTTATTTATTATTTATTTATTTTAATGCGATACTTATAAGGAAGCGGTTCCGTTTCATACACGAGTTTTTGGCTTTAATTATTGAAAAAATTGAATATTCTTCTCCCCACTCAAAATCGAAATCCCTTGCTCCTATACTTCCACTCGATATATCACGAGATTTCTCAAGTAAGGATATATTTGAAAATCAAGAAATGAATTTTAGAAAATGAGTCACTTTTGAAAAATAGTTTTATTTTCAGTATTTATAATTTGATTGTATTTTGAGTAAAATTGTATAATTAAATATTTTAATTATTTTATTTAAAATATAAAATATTTATATTAATATTAAAAATAATGTTACGGAGTATTTATTAAAAATTGAAAAAAAAAGAAAATTTATGGTTTCCTGTCGTAAATCAAATATATAATTTTCGTCGAAAACGATTGTTGTCAACTAGGAAAAGATTTTGGTCTGTGGAAAATGAATTCCACCAATTTTGACAAAAGTCATTTTCCTTCAAAATAGGCTTATTTTTTCAAATCAATAAGAAAAATAACATTCGTTAACTTGATTTTTCAGGTATATCCAAAAACTGGAAATCCGAAAAACTCTGAAAAATGATCTATAGAATTCATTTTTCGGATTTCCAAACATACTCTAAAAGTAAAATTATGGATTTAGGGGAAGATTGATTTGGGTATATCAAATAAAATTGATAATGTAAAAATATTTTAATATTATATGTCCTTATTAGTTTAGATTACGTGGTAATTCTTAATAATAATGATATTATTATCAAATTTTGACCTTGTTGTATATAAAATACCTTAATTATCTTTCCTGCCATAAATATTATGAACACAATTATTTCCAAATTTGATTACATAATTATAATGTCATTTCCGATCCTCATGTAGCTCATGAATTTTATTTCTGTAACATTTGGTGCACAATTTTATTATTTTTGTCACGCTTAGTCCTTCAAGCCAGATTTGGTATAGGAAATAATTGGAGCTCATCACATTTTTAAAAACTATACTAGCACAAATACCTCAGCTCCATTGGGGAAGAAAATGTATAAATTTGAACTATAAATGTAACACACTTCACTTGTTTCTTTATGAGATTTTGTTAAAATGGCTAAATGTGGCAAATATAACATTTAGAAGTCAAGTGTAAAAGTGATGAAATACTCATCAAATAGTCGTGACTTGTGAAATCAAAGTTCAAAATAATTATATTGTCAAATAACCTTGAAATTTTAATTTAACTTTAATTTACCCTTTAAAATATACAAATGCATTATACGTATTGAAATAAAATACTTATTTTGACAAAAAAAAAATGATCAATAATGTACGAATCCACACCCCGGGTTAGTAGAATGATGGATGGATAACTGGATAAGTAACGTTGACTCAACGGCCTCTTAAGTAAGATAACCAATACTTAGTGCCCAAAAAGAGCATACCCCAATTCTTGTAATTGCAACTAAGATAAAGTTTTTAGGGTAATACAAAAGGTAGGCCGGGCAATCCTCAACCAAATTGGTCGAACAATTGACTCGATAACTACAAGGTTCCAAATTCAATTCGCCTTCATGTATAAGCTGTCTATTGGTCGATCTTCTTGGGTTTGAATTGGTCAATTATGGGTAACCTAGGCTAATTTATCTCATTGTATTTTGTCGGCTTGGGTCGCAATGCGAGCTTCACCCAGAGTCATCAACTATATACAATCTCTTTTGATTTACCTCATTGAGATCTTTTGCCTGTTATGATCATAAGGTGAGTTTCACACAACACAAAATGCATCTTTGAATAGTGGCACGTAAAGACATGTATCGATGTAATAAGTATTATACGTGACATAATGCAATGAACTTTAATGCATGTATTTATACACATACATTTATACCAATGTCCTATATATACATACACATGGGGTGCTGGCAAAGATGGAAAATGACCTGATCTGACGTGGGAAAGACTTGAATGAAGTGGGTTTTGACCCTACGTGCCAAACATCAAATACATATACTTTTGTGGCCTGGCTAACTATATGCAGAATGGAACATGCACCTTCCAAAATCAATCAAGAAAAGCTATGGCCTACTCGCATGGGTTTAGGAAAGGGGTGGGCTTTCTTTGCTGGTGGATACTTTGGAAGGAAACTTTTATTTTCCATTCCTGTATTCAATCACTTTCGTATTCTCTGGATATGATTGCCGATCGATATCGACAAACGGATTGATGGATATCATAATCCGGTGTGGATAATAATTTATTCATTTATTGCCACTTTTGATGACATTTATTGCAACATTCAAGTTATGCATATTCAAATAATTTGAGATATATAAGTATTAAATGGTATGGTTGAGAGATTGATAATGAAATAATATAACACAATGTGATATTATTTGTTTGTAGGAAGGAATGGGTTTTAGACTTTAGACTCCCAATTTACATTTCTCAACCAAATTGTCCACATGTTATGTTATATTGGCCTGCCTATTTTTTCTTTAGTATTAATCCAGTTGATAGCTCTTTCCGAGTCATGTTTCACTATAAAATGCATAAATGCAACGTGACATTATTGATTGTGATAATACAATAAAGTACGATACACAGCTACAAGTGAGCTTTGGAGCCTCTTCTTATGTTGAGTTTTAGAAATCAAACCCCCCTACAAAATTGTGGAACACACTATTTATAGTGTTAGATTAAGGAACACCTACTGATCAAAATTTGCCAACAAAACCAATGGCTACGGGTAGCTCAAGTCGATTGTGACACATATATGTACGTCGAGCACTGATGTCACCTTCAAGATAGTCGTGATTGTTAATTGACATAATGCTTCTATGATCATAAATTGACCTTTGAGGTCAATTCTTGATTTGGGAGGTTGAAAGGCTAAATAACTTATCAAATCCAAGTTATATGTACAATACATGATCTGTTATATCCTCATAAGTATTATATAATGTAACTTGTGAAATATATTGTTATATTATAAGGTTTGGTATTAAATGGACAATGGTCATACATACATAACCTAATTAAGTTGTGTAGCAATAAACTAATTTACGAATAATTGATAAATATATAAAAAAAAAATTATAATACTTGTTACATGTTACATTACTTGTAAAATAGTTAATAGCAAAATTTTTCAATTTTTTTTTTGGAGTGAATTAATTGAATACGAGTTAATATATTATTAGATAGTATAAGATTTAATGCACATTGTATTACCTTATTTACACAATTATACACATACTCCTTATTTCATTTTGTTTCAACTTATGATAACTTTACAGGGCGTTTGGTTGGAGGGAGGGAATTATGTGGGAAATGAATTGTAATTCTATGGGAGTTGAATTACTGGGAATAAAGTGGGAATTTAAATTCTAGTGTTTGGTTGACAGGAATAAAATTACTGGTAATTTCATTTCCAATGTTTGGTATACATGGAAATTGAAAGGGAATAAGTAGTATAAAGTCAAAAATGTCCATTATTGTTGTTAGACATTAATTTTAGGTTAAAAAATGAAGGGGTAATTTTGACTCATCACTATCTTTTTTTTTTCCAGGAATTAAAATACCAGGGGGAGACATTGGATTTTAATTCCATTAAAATGGGGGAATTGCAATTCCATGGAATTGCAATTCCCTCCAACCAAACTACGGAATTTAATGGTCTTTGGAATTAGGTGGGAATTAAGTGGGAAGGGAATTTAAAATCCTTCCAACCAAACGCCCTGTTATGGAATTTTATGGTCATTACATATTTACCATACTCATTGTATGTCTTTTGGAAGATGAAATATGTAGCATCACACTTTAAAATAATGTATAGCATTTTTTAAAAGTTTAAATAATTAAATAAATATTCATCCCAACATTCTTTTGATTGAACTCATTGACGCATAGTTTTTATTTTTATTTTTATTTTTATTTTTATTTTTTTTTTGGAGTTCTTGAGATTTTATGTGACAGGTGTATATAAGTTGGGGTCCAATGTAGGATCTTAAACATAAGTTTGGTCGGAATAGTAATATTTGATGGTGGTTGATATTAAGGGCCCTTTGATTTAAAATGATGGATACTATACTATTACATGTGGACTCCCACATGAGAAGATTGCACATTCATATATGTTGTTGGATTGAAAAGCATAAAAATTAGTACTGTACATATTTTTCCATTCCATTAGAGTAAAATAATCAAAACTTTCAAAGAATCTTATGGATTCTTGGATCCTATGTAGAAGTATGGCATAATACTTTTTATAATCCTTGGTACTTGATATTGTTGGTTACTTAACAAAAGAGTAGCATAGGGAATCCAAATTCAATAAACTCGAGATTTATATTCATCTTCTTTGAACGTTTTTTACTCACAGTTTAAAAGTATGCATTGACCTAAATATTATAAAAGAGAGCATAATAAGTGGTTTAAAATATCATAACCAACTATACTTGGTATAATCATATATTTTAGCAAGTATATTCAAAAAACGTTCCAATAAATTCAATACAATACTTGATGGTATGATGTACTATTATAAAGTAAAAAGAGTTAATACCCAAAATAGTCCCTCGACTATGTCGTAATTACCAATTTGGTCCTCGACTATCATTCTTACCCAATTAAGTCCTCAACTATACAATTTTTACCCAATTTAGTCCTTTGTCAATTTGACTGTTTGTTGACTGTCAAAAGTGGAAATAAAGTTGTAATTTTACAAGTTTTCTCCTTCCTCCCCATTTAGCAGCGCCAAACCATGTAGCAATAAGCTCCGGTTGGGTTCTAAACCTGTCAGTATCGAAGTAGTGGTTATGCATCGGAAAGCCCATGAATTTGATTTCTAACGATTTTTTGACGATCGAAATCTGATCGGAGTGTATTGCTGCATGGTTTGGCGCTGCTAAATGGAGAGGAAGGAGAAATCTTGTAAAATTATAATTTTATCCCGACTTTTGACAGTCAACAAACAGTCAAATTAATACAGAGGACTAAATTGGGTAAGAATTGTATAGTTGAGGACTAAATTGGGTAAGAATTGTATAATTGAGGACTTAATTGAGTAAAAGTTACATAGTTGAAGACTTAATTGGGTAAGAATGGTAGTTGAGGACCAAATTGGTAATTATGGCATAGTCGATGGACCATTTTGGGTATTAACTCAAGTAAAAATCATAACTAATAAAGCTATTTTTATCCCTTCAATTTTTATTTTTATTTTTTCACTTTCAAAAGTAAACATGTTAGCATATCATAGTATTTACAATTTAACAATTTAACGATATTTTCTCTATATTCCTGAAATTTGGACTCATCTTCCAATTGATTAATGAGTTTATTAATAGGTTAGCATTATCCCACACAAAGCACTAGCTTTGTGTATGAAAAAAAAAAAAAAGATTGAATTAGATCCAATGACATTATCCAAGAATATTAGCTCTCACTTTCCCAGGTATTGATCTTACCTCATAGATGATCGAGATCATTATCATATCACCTGCAATTAAAATAAACAAGTTCAAAATAAGTTAGACAAGTTAGTAGTCACATGTAACTTTATTGTCACAATAATTCCTACTATTGAATTCCACATCATATTTCATATGTAATTTAATGGTTTAAAAAAATAATTAAAATTCATGCAAGTAGTTACGACAAATTTTATTTGAATAAGAAACTTGAAATTCATTGTTAAATCTGTTGTGGTTTAAATGAGTGATCAAAATATGTTGTAGCCACAAGTAAAATTAAGTAGCAACTTGCGTTGTCCAGAAAATGACTGTCAGGTAAATAGAACATGATTTTCGTATCAGAATATCATGTATTTGATTATTTTCAATATTCTTTTGGTCGAATCTGTCATATGCAGTTTTCATATAGTACGTCAAGTTCGTATTACAGTTAACATTTCATGTGTGATTTGCGCACTACTACGTATTACACAAAAGCATAATTTTACCATTGCAGATCCTATTTGCATTGATTTTAACCAAAACAAGTTTATATTATATACATCGATTTTAACCAAATACATGAATCTAATATTTTCAATGATCTAACATTCCATGAATCAAACGTCTTCTAAGAGTAAACATGTATCAATGGTATATCTTATTGTATGGATTATGGACCTAATTGTATCTATCATAATTCATAATTGGGCTCGAAAGATTTGAAATTTGGACGGTTGGTTGAAATGGGGCTGACCCGAACTAATATGAGGCCCGTGGCGGTAAAATCTCTATACAGATCAGCCCGCCAGTATGATCCACTGGACAAGTGGAAATCCGGTGATCCAAACTACCGGTAAACTTCATCTTCTCCCCGCCGATCAAAATTGTTCTAGAACACACACTGTAAAACTTGCATAGTCAATCGCAGAGACGTATATTAAACGTGCATACACAGAGAGCAAAGAGAGAAGGATGCAATCTCCGTGTATCTATGCTTGCAAGTCCTTCAACGAGCTGCAACTCGCGGGGTTTCAATCTCATGTCTCACCTTCAACATCATTCTCAGCTCGGAGGCCCAATTGCTTCTACCCCCGCATCTCGTGCAGTTTCGGACCGGAGAAGGAGAGGGAGAGAGGGGTTAGGAGTGGGGAATCGATGAGTAGAGAGAAGGTGAAGGTGAAAGGGAAGGGAAAGGGGAAGGATAACGTGTGGAGCATCGACAGCGAAATGACGAAGTCTGAGAAGGATAAGGAGAAGACGAGGAGGAAGAAGAAGAGAGGAAACGGGAGGAGAATGACGAGGAACACCGTCCAGAAGAGTAGATGTGGTCGAGTCATGGTCTCCGGTGTTATGTTGATTGAGACCGAAACCGTATTACAAACTCAGGTAATTGTAATTCGGTTTGTTTGCAGGTATCCTTTCTGCATTTCGTTGAAATTTTCATTCTTCTTAATTGATATATGTAGGTGATGATGCTGTTACTAGTTAATGATCTTGTGATGCTTTTGAATTTTTCTTAATATTTAGTTTTTGCGTTTCAATCAATGTTGCAGAAGGCTAGGCGCTGGCCTAGTAATCCGAATATATTGTTTCCACTTTTATCACTCTAGACTGTTATGATATCTTAAACTAGTCAACTGCATTTGTTAGATGGTTAGTTGAGTATATGGCTGGAGAAATATAGGAGAGGAGTAGCCGAGTAGGCAAAAAAAATCACTCGGCCTAGTTAGGCGCCCGACTCGGCCTAGTTAGGCGTTCAACTCGGCCGAGTCGACGCCTAGGGTGCCTAGTTGGCCGGTTAGTTGGTCAGCCGACTAAAAGCCGCCTAGGGCTGAAATCGCCATTTTTACAACACTGGTTTCAATACACTAAAAATGTGGTTGATTAGCAAAATGACAAATGTAAGAAGGGAAAATGGGGATTATTGACATGGGTATACCTGTGGAATCAGAAACCAGTAGATCAGTAGGGTGTATAGACCATGCTTGATAGTGGTTCTGGCTTCCATACTCCATAGTCTAACTCTACACTACTTCTGTTAGGTTTTTAGTACTTTAAAAGTTGTCATATTTTCAGGAACCTGTAATTAGGCCTGTATGGAGTACATTTGCAAGTAGTGTTAGTGGAATATGGAAGGGAGTGGGAGCGGTGTTTTCTCCTGTGACTGCAGAAATGGAGCCAATTGAGGTCGGAAACAAGAACGAGTACCTCTTTGACTGCTATACTCTTTCTCGTGTTGAAGCTGTGCCTCCACAGGCTGGGGGACGGACTTCTCAAATCCAGAGGACAATTAATTGGGTATCGTTGAATCCTTATGGTGAAGTTCAGGAGCTGAAAGAAGGTGATTATGGAAATCAAGTGAAGGGTACAGATGGAGAGAGATCCTTGTCTACAAGGAAGACAGCAGAAGGAACTTTAACAAAACACAATTTACCGAAATTTGAATCTTTTGACTTTGGAAAGAGTGATGTGATGGAGGAAGACATAATGGGAACGGAACCTGGTCTTGTGTTCTTTGAGGTAAAACTAATTCAGTTCTGTGATGACAATGCATGCTGGTTTTAATCACTCATGTTTTTAGTTGCTGGAATATCATTTCGTTACATTAATTCATGCCCAATCAAAGTTTATAAAAATTTGAAGGATGGATCTTATTCAAGAGGCCCGGTTGATATCCCAGTTGGTGGCATTGATGACTCAAAGTATTACCTTTCTCCAACGTTCAAGTTTGAACAGGTGAGTTTGTCTTCTTAGTTCTTACTAACCTTTCATTATAATAATTACTCCCTTCGATTGTGTTCAAATAAATGTGAGGAACTACTGGCCTATTCTCTTACCTTGGAGTTATGAATTTGGCTAGTGTCCTTGAGACACTACCTGATGCTGTACATAATCCTGCTAAGATGATGATCATCACACATCTGGTCAATCAATGTGCTCTGCAATAAAATATTTCTTTTATTTGGAATTCTAAATTTCCTATGCTTACATTCATTCGATTGTTTTATTACTATGTAACTAGCTCCTATTTCTTTTGTAGTGTTTGGTCAAAGGTTGCCACAAGAGACTCCGCATGGTTCATACTATAGAATTCAGTAACGGTGGTTCTGACATTCAAATATTAAGAGTTGCTGCTTATGAAGAACAGTGGGTTAGTCCCGCCAATATCTTGGACCAAAGGTATCTCAGTAACTTCAAGGATGGAATAGTTTGGTTTGACATTCTAAAATAATCTTGTAGCTTTTAAACAATAGATTTATCTCAATTCTAAGATAAAGTTTTCTAGTTGCATCTCACGTTTCTGTTCTTGTACACAAGATCACATGGACTCGTTTCTAGATATTGCATACTATCTCTTGATTTCACGTTATTATTAACATCTTATGTCTCACCTAGTCACCTACCCAATCGAAGAAAACTGACATTGTCTCACTTGTGGCATCAAAGCGACCTGGATCTGGAGGTGAAACCATTTTCACAGAGGAGAAGAGTTCAACCGGTAGAGCTGACCGGGTCCTGGAAGGTATTTGAGATGAGCGTGACACCTGTTTATGGCGAGGAGAATGATACAGACATCAACAGTGTGCCCGTTGTATACCTCTGCATGGAAACCCTAAACAAAAGAGGCTTGCCTGAAACTCCGGTCTACTTCGGGGAGGAGGACATGCTAGACATGCAAGACGCGACAATACTATGGCTTCCGGGAGGCGTGACCAGCTATGTCGACGTGAAAAAGGATGGAATCCTGTGCATCGGAGTCGGCTGGTATTCAGATGAGGGAATAAACCTTGTCATGGAAAGGGATTATGGAACAGATGGGAAGTTGAAGGAGGTTAGGTGGAAGTCTGAAATGAAGAGAAGGTGGACTAATCCTCCTCCCATGTAGATATTCTTGTGTTTCACTTCATTTATAGGTTAGTTTTTGTATATGTATATTTTGATGATTGATTTTCTTTTGTATCTTACAGTACTATATTGTCATAAATGGTGTTAATTGCCCTTTTTTTCACCTTGAGTCATATATCATATAAAATGCACAAATTTATTTGGATATTATTTTGTCAAATTGTTTGAGATGTTTATATATCATATCATATATATTTGCTCTTTTTTTTTTTTTGAAAAGGAAAACCACATTAATCAAATAACAAACATTACAAATAAAAGGAAAGGATAGTAGTGTGAATGTGTGATACCCAGTGGTTTATATATTATAGTATAATGCCTACAAACAGTTACTCATTGATGTGACAACGGTATGTTTGTGATATAATATTCCGTCACGTCAAGAAGTGATTCTTTGTGAACCAATGTAACAATTGAATGTTTGTGATGTGACATTTTGTCACATGTGATTGTTTATAACTTGATATGACAATTGCATGTTTATGATGTGATATTTTGTCAAGTTATAAAGTAATTGCTTGTAAGTTGATAGTAATAATTGTATATTTGTGATGTTTTGTCACGTTAGGAAGTGACTATTTGTGAGTGAGAATTATAGGCATTTTCCAATGTAAAATAGAAGTGAGAAAGGTTTATGGAATATGGAGTATTGGGCTGTACTAAACTGAGATTATGAAATAAAATGGACTAAAAGTGCGAGGGATAAAAAAGTGTGGGTTTAAAGTGGTATTAGGGTGAACAATGGGGACTAAAAACGAAATATCTATAAAGTAAAAACAAAAGGTACTCCATTATGATCTATAATTCAAGTTTTCAACGTTGTTTTAGCTTTTACGTGTGTGCGTTTCTCTGCCTCATCTCCTTTGCATCTAAAATTCTCCCACGTAGATTCAGATTCCGGTCGGTCACTTAACGCCGGCGAATCCCTCAGTTTCCGGTTAACCTTTCTCCTCTGTCGCCATGAATCCTGAGTAGTATGTTCTTTCATCTTCATCGTCCTTATTTTTATTTTATTTTCGGCTTCATTTTATATCCTTTGGAAGTATCGTCAAATCTACTTTTCAGCTGAATATTATCATTATCATCCTTCTACTTTCAAATTTTAGCTATTTTCTGAGTAAAGATCCCGTCTTTATGGTAATTATCTTCCTATTAGATGTGTTCCTTTCATCTTTTTTACAAGTTGTGATTCGCCGTAGATGTGTAAACATGTACATGTGAGATGAATGAGAAAGGTTAACTAAGGATGGATTCCAGATTATGATTGAAGTTGTGGTGTTTGATTAATTATATGGATAGGAAGGTTGATATGCAGGCTACAGGAATTAGGGAGTTTGGTTAGGGTTATTTTTTGTGTGAAGTTAAGATGAGACTTGGCCTTTATAGAGCCTTTAAAAGGTAGGCAATGCAGTCTGAGTCAATATTATGTTCATTCTTCAAAGGGGTTCAACAGTTTGGATGTTCTAAGCTTGCTCCTCTGCTTCAAATGCATTGAATTCATGAAGCAAAGTTAAACACAGAAACCTTTTGAGATACATAAGCAAATCATGTTCTTTTGGTGGTTATTTGAATATGGTAAATTCTTAGTGCCTATAATCTTAATTTTAGTGTTGCCACTTGCCAGACCTCTATCTAAAATATATAATTTGATAAATGCTAAGAGGCTTACTGCTGAAATTATTGTTCCGATGTATCTGAACATCACCTTACTGCTGCCTCCGTTTCACTGGAGTTAACCATTTAAGCCCAAATCTTGAATTCTTTGTGAGATCTTAGTTGCTTTCATATGTTTTACTTTTTCTTTACCTAGGAGTAAACTGGAGTTAATAAAATGTATATTTTTCCCTTTTACTAGTTAATGGCTGGCTAACTGATTCCATCTGCTTCTCCTTCCTTGCAGTGACTATTTGTTCAAACTTTTGCTAATTGGAGATTCTGGTGTTGGGAAATCATGCCTTCTATTGAGATTTGCTGTATGTTGCTACTACATGTACTCCTGTCTAGTATACTGGATTATTTTTCAGTTTGCATTTACGTATGTGCATGGAATTGTTCGGAGGATTGTGTTACTGCAATTTAGTGCTCTTTAAAATAGTGTGACTGAAACTGAAAGTAGTAACTTTCTTCTGTTAGGATGATACATACTTGGAGAGTTATATCAGCACCATCGGAGTTGACTTTGTAAGTAAATTGTTTATTAACCATCAGCCATTTCATTTAATGTTATCAGTTATCTATTTCCCCACCAACAACTGCCTCAATAGGGTTGGGGGAGAAGAAAGAAGGGAAACTGAACAAAGGGAAATTGTCACAATTTATTCTTTCTTGTAGAAAATTCGCACTGTGGAGCAAGATGGGAAAACACTAAAACTTCAAATTGTGAGCTTTTCTAGACTAAAGCTTGATTTATTTCATTCACTTTTACTCTTTTGTGAAATAAATGTTCATAAAAGTCATTTAAGTTGCCTTTGTTCTTTGCCAATATTTAGTGGGATACTGCTGGACAAGAACGGTTTAGGACTATTACTAGCAGCTACTATCGTGGAGCCCACGGCATAATAGTGAGTGCTAGCCTTTAAAAATTTCTGCTCTATTTAACTTCAATTATTAGCCAATTGGTTATCGTGCATTCTTAATCCACTGATAACTCTTTGAAATGACCTCTATGGTAGGTTGTATATGATGTGACGGACCTTGAGAGCTTCAACAATGTCAAGCAATGGCTTAGTGAAATCGATAGATATGCTAGTGAAAATGTCAACAAACTTCTTGTTGGGAACAAATGTGATCTTGCAGCAAACAGAGCTGTCTCGTATGAAACAGCTAAGGTGAACAGAGTTAATTATAATAGACAGATAATTGATCTTCTTTTAAGACTACCGTGAGGACTTTTTCCTTCTCAACTGAGAATCTATTGGTTGTGCTCTCTCATTATACAGGCATTTGCTGATGAAATAGGCATTCCATTCATGGAAACCAGTGCAAAAGATGCTACTAATGTAGAGCAAGCTTTCATGGCTATGTCTGCTTCAATAAAGAATAAGTAAGACATGCATAGTTTATTTGAATAACACCAAAATCCTTACACCTCTGTGCAGTTTCTGAAATCATTTGAATCTCATGTATATGAGTTGGTTGCCTTACTTCCTTTTAAAGTCCAAAGCCCGATATGCTTACAACGCTTATACTTTCTTACGTATGAATAAGTTTTCTAAAAGTTCAGTATCAGAGCTTTCTGAAACAAGTAAACATTAAAGCATAGCAAACGCTGTAATCATCTTGTATCCCACCATGTATGAAATATCACAATATTGTCTTGAATGTCATATTAAGTAGGCCCGGTGCAGGGCTGGTATTCCTCACTAGATTCATTTGAGCCCTGACATGGCGAAGCAGTTAATTTCTTGTGTGGAATGCTATATATGAGCAGAGATTTAAAAGTTTTGACACCTCTTATTAGTCGGCTTTATTTTTTAATGCCATCCATGTGTGCCTGATTACGATGTTCGTGTTGCTTGTGCATCTTCTGATGTTCCCGTTTTGACCTTCAAATGCAGGATGGCAAGCCAACCAGCTAATGCAATGAAGCCTCCAACTGTTAATATTAAAGGACAGCCAGTTGCACAGAATAGTAGTGGCTGCTGCTCTTCCTGAGGGGTAGACAGTTGCTCAGTTTATTTGTATGTGTTATGGCTAAATCTATAGCTGTCCACTTCATGGATTCATTAATTCTTCAATATCTTTGTCACTCCAATGTTTTCTTTCTTTTTTCTTCATGTGATAATGGAATGATTGTAAAAACTGGTGAAATTGGTCAATGTTAGCAATTTGTACACTATATTCTGATGTTCTAAGGACAAAATAGTCATGCATGAGCTGATGACCCAACACTATTTAATCTTTTAGGATCAAACTTAGATATCATGAGGTAACATCAACTGAGTTGGTCGAACAATTAGCTTGGTAATTACAAGATTTTATGTTTGATTCTACAAGGAAATTGTCTATTAACCTTTTTAGTTTGATCTAACTTGGAAGGTGTGGTTAAGTGGAAGGGATTCATCAATCCCTTGATTTTGAGTATGAAACAACTTTAAATTTTCAGGCCAGCTGTCCCACCTACAACAATTGTGTCCAGTTGTCTCACCTACATGTGTCCAGTTGTCTCACCTACAACACCTACAACAACTGTATCTGACGGTGAAAACCCTGAGTACATCAAAAAAAAAAAAAAATGGACAACTCATCTTGTGACTTTAGATAATAAGGCGAACTTTGTCCAAAGCAAACCTTCGGGTAATGACTGTAAGCTTTTCTATAAATCAAGAACTTAGTAGCCATTAGGAAATGTAAGATACAATGTGAGAAATGCAGCAATATAAGGGGAAGATTAAGACCTGTGTCAACAACACAGTTTCACTATTCCATCTCAAAAAAACAAAACTGACAAGCAACATAGAGTTATGAGTTGTGTCATACGGCCAAAACCAAAACAGTAATAGAGGTAACATCACATTAGATGAAAGGAGGCTAGATAGGATAGGTGGGGGTGGGGGATCTGGGATACATGAAGGAACAAGAAATTTACATCTTCAAAGTGTAAATTTCAGGAACCTTAAGTCTATTATTCTAGTGAACCATCTCTCACTTGCCACCTAAGGTTGGGAACTGCCCTGGATCTTCAATGGAAGGGGCCTGGGCCTCCATGAAGCTCATTGTCTTTCCTCCACTGTAACCACCTCTATCGCGCCCGCGCCCACGGCCACGACCGCCAGAACCGGAGTACCTCTCACCCTCAGCAGGCTTCAAAAATTCATTAATGCTGACAGACTAAACCCAAGAAAAAAAACGAAAGGATTAAATTATTGCCCAAAAGTACGAATTAAAAACAGCAGGGAATGGATATTTTTGGTCAGACCATGAGGTGTCCTGGGCAGGCCCTAACTGTAGGAGACACCTTTAAGCCCGTACAATACTCAGACTAATCCCAGTTCGCACCGGGCGGCCCAATTAAGGGGCAAAGTGCTGGCCAGAATAATTTTTCCATACGAGATGGGGTTCGAACTCCCGACCTCTCGTAAGGGATAAGAGTGCACGGCCACTCACGCCAACCAA